TCCCTATTTTTGGTCGGACCGCGGATGTAAAAAGGTCGAGGAACACAGGCTTTACAGGACGTTGCAGCACCAACCCCCGTATTTTTGTGGGGGGGGGGGGGAGCTGTTTGTGATATTACTAGGCTATTTTACAATAACATCATTGACCCATTCATATTGATCGCCTATTAGCTGGCCAGTAGACGACTTCGTCGTCGGTCTGTCTCTCTTAAATACATATACACTGTAAGAGTTCTTTTCATGGCTACTTGGTGGCGAGCAATGCTCGTTTTAAGTTTTACTTAATTAGTTTGCCGTTGTCCACTAAGTGGTTGATAACTACTGTTGATATTAAGGTAGTCTGCTTCTGTCTCCCGCAGCTGGGATCGAACCCGGCACAACGGGATCACGAAGCGCATTCGCAACGCTTAAGCCACATTCGCCGTCATGGTAGGAATATGAGTAAACGTTAAATATCCCTGAATTTATTTCCCTTGTTATTTCCATACCGCTGAGTGTTTTCTAACAATTGGTGTTTGCGTATATTTTGTACAAGTGGTCGTTTATCTCCCGATTGTAGCCTCGGGTCGTGTCGTATGTAAATTAATAGGCCGCCGCCTCAAGGCTGAGACCTCCCCCAGTGTCGCTGCTACTTGATTCCTGTGGCATGATTAATTCCATAGGCAACCACATTTCCTCCAAGTCCCGGCTTTGAAAGCGCACCTGAGGTCCGCAGTTTTCATTATACAGATTTACCTGGTGGGGTTTTGTGGTGCTCTGCTTTCATCTAGCCCGATTAGATTGCACAGAATTTCTTCTCGTTTCGCACGTGGCAGATGTGGTGCATTTTCGCGTCGGACTGTTTATTGCAAATGACATTCACACTGTTGCGTCAGGCCCTCTCGGGTTCTTGTTTTTGTCTGTCCTTTCAAGGACCTACAGCGGTGTTGACACCTTCTGCCTCGCCCGCAGGGTCGGCGGGATCGGGTGTTTTCTGGTAGTCGAGGGTGTGGATTACTTCTGACGTCACAGTGGCCTTATAAGTATTGCCACATTGTACAACCACTCAGCTTAGATGTTAAGTACAGTTTTAAGGGGGAGTGGGGTTTGCAAGCTGCTTCTAATTTTTTTTTTAAATAACCATTCTCCCCCGCCCACCAGATAGCATTTCTCTTCTTTGGTAGCTGTTTCAGAACAACTGAAATTCAGAGTTTACGACAGCTCATGAAGACTGTAATGCGATCCCGCTCTGGAAATAAAAAGGGATTCGGTTTAGTGCCAGCGTAACTGTGATAGAGGATCTACGCAGAATAAAAGTTGATAGCAACATTTGAACCGGTTTGCCGGTATGGCTATCGGGCAGTATCATTGGCTTGGCAAGTGGCTCTTGTTAGCACCCGAGTTAGTTCATTCTTATGTGTGAAACGACGTGTTTAGAGCATGTTGACTTAAGCCTGCGGATTCCCTTCAGACGCCTGTACCCGCACACGACGGTTGGTATCGGTGTAACTTGGCTATAGGGTTGTCGCCCAAGATAGGAGCTGGGCATAATGTTCGTGTTTATGGATATTAGAGTCTCTGACGCGGGGGAGGGAGGGCGGGGGGCTCTACGAATGGGAGTTTGTAATTCCGAAATACCTGACTCGATTCATTGGATGCGATTTGGCAGCAGGCCGCTCTGCTGCCTCCAGAGAGGTGTGGCAAAACCACTGAAGGTAGACATTGACTAGTAAAACCACAAATAGTAAAAAAAAAATGCTGGGTGATTTCAAACGTCTTGTAAGGAATACGTAAAGTCCCCTCTTGGGTTCTGGCGCCCCCTTTGCGGGGGGGGGGGGGCAAGAATAGACCCACTGCCTCTCCAGCAAGTGTGCCATAGGAGTCGACCAATTGATGACTTCCTTTGAAGTCAGAGTGCACCTGCCCCAGCGGCCAGCAACAACAATCTGCACACAAATAAGCCAGTAAAACGGATGTACACGCAAAACTCAGGCCCTGCCATAAAGCCAAAGTCCAAATGGACGAACAACCAGGACTTTCCACCGGAGCTTACAGCCGGTGAACACGGAAGACGTAGAAGATACTATAATCAAATATAAACGCCATTTCTTATACCCGCTTCACAGTACCTTCAACATGGCGCATTCCCTCCTTTACCTGCCTGTATGTGTTTAAACTTTATAACTTTCTGAACTCCCGTCTGCTGTTGAAGAGTGGGCAGGTTTGTGTTTTTAGCGATCTTGCATTATACGGAATGCATTAAGCCAGTGGTTCCAGCTTGTTCTGCGGAGCCCTTTCAAGACCCCTTTCCTCACCTTCTGGCGTATTCGTCATATAGGGCTAGACATTTATTTTAAAGAAATCATCGCTCGGTGGGTGATGTGGTCAGCATTACGCCGGCCGCGTTTACTTCCCATAACTTTATCTGGTACCCATTTAAGGCTGGGTCGACCGGGGAACCAATGCCATTTTTGAAGACAGTCCAGTTTAGCTCCGTCTGGACCAGAATTCACGACCTTTGGATCCGCAGGCAAGCGTATAGCCGCTACACCACGGTGGCTGCCGGGGAGCCCCTAAGGCCCCCTCCTGCACTTCCGTTCCTCCTCCTGCACTTCCCAGGGCCCCCTCCTGCACTTCCCAGGGCCCTCTCCTGTATTTCCCAGGGCCCTCTCCTGCACTTCCTATGGCCCCCTCCTGTATTTCCCAGGGCCCCTCCTGCACTTCCCAGGGCTCCGACCTGCACTTTACAGGGCTCCCTCCTGCACTTATCAGTGCTCCGTGGCTGCTCTGGGATAATAAAAATCAAAATGAATGAAAATTAAAGATTAAGAAACAAAAGGTAGCAAAGTGGGCTTTACCAAAATCATTGATTCTAAGGGGCTCCGCGAGCCACAATATTTGGGAAACACTGCATTAGGCATTCTCTCTGGAAAATATTCAACTCAGTTTTAAGTATGTACGGAGTGCATCTCCATTAATCAAACGTGTTACATTCCTTGTGCAGGATTGGCTCGACTGAATATGAGACACTTTACAGCTTCAAATGCAGCTTTGCACTTACGTAAACCATGTATTTTAACTGTTGTATTGAGACTTGATCGCGACTTGTGGAATTGTTATTTGGGGGTTAATTTGGCGTGATCATGTGACTTGGACTGAAGTGTTCAACGCGAGGTTGAAATCATTGAGACTAGCAGAGACAACAACTAGCACTTTTAGTATTGACTTTCTGCGTTTGCTGCTGAGGATGGGCTTTGAGTGTTTATGTGGATGCCCGGGGTACTATCGCCTAATACATATTGTCTGACTGTTAACCCATGGTGTGAGGACAATAATTGGTACGCCCAAGCTCGTAATATGTTGCAACAATACTTGTTTAATGCTACACCTCTGTTCACCTTTAGTATGTACACACAGTGTCCCACATTTCTGTTTTCCACTGCACTGGATCGTTGTCTGCATGCAGATAAACCGTTTCATCTTCAAGAAAGATCCACTTTTCTGTCACAGTTATTTAGTCTTGATCCAGAACCTGAGTGTTGTGCGCACATCCGTTTTACAGATCTGTCTTATTTATATGCAGATTGTAGGTTCCTTGCCTCTCGTGCAGATGCAGCTCCCCCCCTCCCCAAGTTAGTCGACTCTTACCACATGCTTGTTAGGGAGGCATTGGGTCAATTCTTGTTTCCCCCCACAATAGGGCCCTGGAACCCACACGGGGAATTTCGTTTCAGTTCAACCTTATCTTGACACCCCCCCCCCCTTTCCCTGCCTCCCATTTGCATCTCACCGAAAGATTTAGACACTGCGAAATACTGATAGTTTCATTTCAGGAGTCTCATTCTAGGTTGTCCATTCTAGGTTGTCCATTCTAGGTTGTCCATTCTAGGTTGTCCATTCTAGGTTGTCCATTCTAGGTTGTCCATTCTAGGTTGTCTAGTGATAGGTAGCCTATTCTAGGTTGCCTAGTGCTTGGTAGTTACATGTCAGGTAGCCCCATTCTAGGTTGTCCAGTGCTAGGTAGCCCCATTCTAGGTTGTCCAGTGCTAGGTAGCCCCATTCTAGGTTGTCCAGTGCTAGGTAGCCCCATTCTAGGTTGTCCAGTGCTAGGTAGCCCCATTCTAGGTTGTACAGTGCTAGGTAGCCCCATTCTAGGTTGTCCAGTGCTAGGTAGCCCCATTCTAGGTTGTCCAGTGCTAGGTAGCCCCATTCTAGGTTGTCTAGTGATAGGTAGCCCATTCTAGGTTGTCTAGTGCTTGGTAGTTCCATGCCAGGTAGCCCCATTCTAGGTTGTCCTGTGCTAAGTAGTTCCATGCTAGGTAGCCCCATTCTAGGTTGTCCTTTGCTAAGTAGTTCTATGCCAGGTAGCCCCATTATAGGTTGCCCAGTGCCAGGTAGCCCCATTCTAGGTTGTCCATGCTAGTTAGTCCCATTCTAGGTTGTCTAGTGCTGGATAGTTCCATGCCAGGTAGCCTTCTAGGTTATCCAGTGCTAGGTAGCCCCATTCTAGGTTGTCCAGTGCTAGTTAGCCCCATTCTAGGTTGTCCAGTGCTAGGTAGCCCCATTCTAGGTTGTCCAGTGCTAGGTAGCCCCATTCTAGGTTGTCCAGTGCTAGGTAGCCCCATTCTAGGTTGTCTAGTGCTAGGTAGCCCCATTCTAGGTTGTCCAGTGCTAGGTAGCCCCATTCTAGGTGGTCCAGTGCTAGGTAGCCCCATTCTAGGTTGTCTAGTGCTGGGTAGTTCCATACCAGGTAGTCATGCTGTTTGCTGATGTACTTGTTTTCTCTTTGGTAACAAGCAAATTCATTTAGTCCCAGAAGGTGATAGTGGAAGAGAAACAGGGACGCCTAGGATGGCCTCCTAGCAATGACTGGCTTTCTGGAAACAGCTGCTCATTGTTTGTAGACTACTAGACATAGGAAACTGACCATTTACTGACCAGAGAATGAGAAAATGCGCCTGTTCGCAAAGAGCCTTGCACAGCCGAGTTAACTTTTGATTTTCATTTGGTGTACTCATCAGCTCGCAGCCGTAACAGGAAGAAGAGACCAGGTGAAGATGGGGTTAAGGAAACCCTGTGTCCAATTTGTAATGAAAGAGTTATGGGCCATGCAGAAGATTTGAATGCACATGTGGAGCTGTGTCTTAAGCAGGTATGGATATTTCTCTAACCCTAGTATCTTACCTTTTTTTTTTTAAAGGCAGAAATACTTATTCTCTGTCTCTTTATCACTCTGTCTGTCTGTCTGTCTGTCTGTCTGTCTGTCTGTCTGTCTGTCTGTCTGTCTGTCTGTCTGTCTGTCTGTCTGTCTGTCTGTCTGTCTGTCTGTCTGTCTGTCTGTCTGTCTGTCTGTCTGTCTGTCTGTCTGTCTGCCTGCCTGCCTGCCTGCCTGCCTGCCTGCCTGCCTGCCTGCCTGCCTGCCTGCCTGTCTGTCTGTCTGTCTGTCTGTCTGTCTGTCTGTCTGTCTGTCTGTCTGTCTGTCTCTCTGTCTGTCTGTCTGTCTCTCTGTCTGTCTATCTGTCTCTCTGTCTCTCTCTGTCTCTATCTCTCTCCCTCTGTCTCTCTCTCTGTCTCTCGCTTTCTCTCACTCTCTCTGTGCTTTTGTCATTGATCAAATAGGTCAAATTTGGGAAAAGTCACTGTTAATTTGTATCAGTAATATTGATTGACACTTTAAGAGATAACAGAAAGTGGCATTTAATTTAAATAAGTAAACACAAAACGTAAAGGACCCTTATCACACCAGTCAGGAATATTATGCTGCATAGACTAATCACATTAGCATTTGGTGGGCTATGTGTTCAACATCGCACAGGCCACCTTTACTTGCTAGTCATTACTTTGTGTGTTGTCAACACATCTCGTTGGCCACTTTTACTTGCCAGTCATTACTTTGTGTGTGGTCAACATCACACCACCCACTTTTACTTGCCAGTCATTACTTTGTGTTTGTGTGTGGTCAACATCACACCACCCACTTTTACTTGCCAGTCATTACTTTGTCTGTGGTCAACATCACACCACCCACTTTTACTTGCCAGTCATTACTTTGTGTGTGGTCATCATCACACCACCCACTTTTACTTGCCAGTCATTACTTTATGCGTGGTCATCATCACACCACCCACTTTTACTTGCCAGTCATTACTTTGTGTGTGGTCATCATCACACCACCCACTTTTACTTGCCAGTCATTACTTTGTGTGTGGTCAACATCACACCACCCACTTTTACTTGCCAGTCATTACTTTGTGTGTGGTCATCATCACACCAGTCACTTTTACTTGCCAGTCATTACTTTGTGTGTGGTCAACATCACACCAGTCACTTTTACTTGCCAGTCATTACTTTGTGTGTGGTCATCATCACACCACCCACTTCTACTTGCCAGTCATTACTTTGTGTGTGGTCATCATCACACCACCCACTTTTACTTGCCAATCATTACTTTGTGTGTGGTCATCATCACACCACCCACTTTTACTTGCCAGTCATTACTCACAACCACCCACCACCAGTCATTACTTTGTGTGTGGTCATCATCACACCACCCACTTTTACTTGCCAGTCATTACTTTGTGTGTGGTCAACATCACACCACCCACTTTTACTTGCCAGTCATTACTTTGTGTTTGTGTGTGGTCATCTTCACGCTGGCCAGGTCAATCTGGAAGCTAAAGCCAATTTTCTTCTTTTTAGTTAATTGGCTGTAAGCTCCTGCTGAAAGTCATGGTTTTTCGTCTGTTTCGACTTCGGCTTCATGCCGTTGCCTGGGTTTTTCGAGTTATATTCGTTTTTCGTCTGCAATTGGCTGCTTCTTGCCGTTTAGGCAGATGCACTCCAACTTCGAAGAAAGTCCCTAATTAGTTTATCCCTACAACATGTTTGTTTTCCCCACAATGGAGAAGGTGAATTTTGATAGAGAAAAAAGTACAGCAGGATGGGTATTTGAAATTAAGCCAATGTGGCTGCCTTTAGTTCAAATGATAAACTAAAAATACAGAAAAATAAAATGACCTGTTGAGTTAAAGCTTTTCTCTTCAGCAGAGAGCGGAGGTTGAAGAGGAGCCTGTTGATGTAGAGGGAGGGTATGAAGAGTACGAGTGGGCAGGACAGACCAGAATCCGAGTCACAAGCCTGCTAGAGGGTGGTTTTGCTGGTAAGTGTTGCAGCTAGTAATTTAGTATAAATAAAGAAAGTAAATGCCACTTTTTAAAAAATGCTGCTGGCATATGAGGCTAGCCTTATATTTTTGGAACCCACCATCATGTCGGCTGCTTTTACTTTAAAGGATGTTTCCTGGTACCTTTTTGAGTCGGAGGCTGGGAGCCCAAAAAAATTTCATTTCAGTGTAGAATCGAGCTTTAGGCAAGCAGGTAAGCATCTACCTGTTCTGCTGCTTCGACTGCATACAGAATGACTTCTTTTGTTATTTATAGATTGGTTTAAATTCCATATGAAACTTTTGAGTTTCAGGAATACTTTACGATGAGGAAGGTTGATGTTTAAAGATTCTCCACAGGCATCTTACTGGTTGAAGATACAGTATCCAAGGAAACAACATATTTAAGGATGCTTGAGATTATATGCATTTGGCTATCCGCCAAATAACGGGCACTTATTATGGCGCCGCAAAAAAACCCTAAGAGAGCCTCAGTCAGAAGTCAGTTGCGCACTTCCGCGACTTAATTTGCTAACTTCCGGTTTCTACCGCCACCGCCGAGAGTATTCCCGTGCCGCTCACGCAGCGTGGATTGGGGCTAAACTAGATAGCTGGGACTCACGAGCAGCAGCTTCCGCATTTCCTGCACTTTGCTCATGAGTCCCAGCCATCTAGTTTATCCCCAATCCACGCTGCGTGAGCAATACTCTCAGTGGTGGCGATAGTGGCCGGAAGTTCGCAAATTAAGACGCCGGAAGTTCGCAATGTACATGTGGCTGAGGCCCTGTTTTTGGCCGCCATAATTTGTGCCCGTTATTCGGAGGATATCCTATAGATTTACATGTTATTCCAGTAAGGAGCGGTATACAAGTCCAGTGTGTTTACACTGTTTCTGGAACACTTCTCTGTGTGGTTTCATGGGCCTCATATCGGGGGGAAAGTTGAGATATGCTGTCCTTCTAACACTATGTCATGAAAGGGGACTAAGTAGTTTTCCTCCCTTTAAATCAGATGTATTAGGCTGAAAGAAAAGATGCTGGACAGTTTGACACCATGGAATGGAGGATCATCTGTGTCAGTTGATTTAAAGTATACAAACAGAAGGTTGTGGATAGACATGACTACCAGTGACACATGGCATGGACTTTAAAAAGTAGTAGTCTAAAAGGCTCAGATATTTCAGCCTAGCTGTAATTCTGAACACAACATGCCAGCAACCGCTTTAAGGACATGTGCAAAAGAACTGGAACAATAACCATCAACACCTTTATGATATTGGCTGCTGATGAAATTTGCTAGTGAAGATACAGCCCTGAGGCAGGCCCATTCAGCTCAGGGGCCAAAAGTTGAAAAAGTGTGGATCCTCATTTGCCAGATACCTGAACCCCAGTGTAGAAACACAGTTAATACACTGCAAATGGCAGTGATCTGCCAGTTGCTTACTATGCCTTTGCAGGCCAGATTTGGCCTGCGGGCTGCCAGTTGAATAGTCCTGTCTAAGGATTTACCTGATTACTCCAATGTTAGCTCTTAAAATCAAGAAATGAGTAACAGTTTGGTTTGGTTCATGAGAGATCACTTTAATTGTGCATAGATATGTCTTTAAGTGCTCAGTCTCATCCCCTAGTTGAAAATCTGTGCACAGTACACCAAACTGCCTAGTCTAATGAGAGTTCAAATGTCAGTACCAGAATCATTGATACCAGAGAATCACAGTAGAATCACTTGCCCGTGGCGCGGTGATTTTGGTCACAGGCATGAGGGGAAGTTAAGTCTGATGTGATGTGTATAAGGAGATATTCCGTACCCCACTCGGGCGCCAGTCCTTCACTGTTCTGGTTTTACGGAACCTCATGCAAGACTCCTGCTGCACGTCCCCGTCGTGCACCACGGATAATGTCTCAAATGAGCATTAACAGAGTTGTCAGGAGATCTCGAAGCTGGCAGCCCTTAGACGTGTAGTGTCCTTTCTGGCTCTCATCAGCCCGCCCCCAAACACATGGGTGAAAAGTCTATCAAAACTCATTCGGAACATGAGTAAGGATTGCTTGCCAAATGTACCATCAAATGACAACTCTCGGTTAAAAGTCTGGAGCTGTGCTGCTGAGACTCAACCCTTGACCAAGAGATTTACCCGCAGCCAAGACGGGTAACATCTCTTGTGGGTGAATTATCGCAGCAAGATCCTACGTACGTACATCCTCTGTCAATCCTCAGCGTCGTCGTCACCGCGCTGAGGTACACCACGGCAGCAACTTTTAATCTGCTGGCTAGGAAATAATGTCTGACAAAGTTAAATCCTACGGCACACATGCAAGCTCAAAGTCCGACGACCATAATTCGTACCGATTAGGAAAAGTCCAAATGTCCGTATCTACTGGTCCCACTCGCCTGAGTGTTGGGACCGAACAGGCGAAGCCACGCCTGACGCATGTTGCTTCCCCATTCTGTCGTGCCAAGGGCACAGTTGAAACAACATTAAAGGTGTCTAACGTATGATGAAAAAAGAATGTACCCATTTGTGTGGCCACAAAAGTCCTGGACCTGCGGGCTACTCCCTGCTGATCTCCGGACAGCGCAGCCTTGTAGCACGGGAAGCTCAATACACGGTTGTGAGGTTAAGCAGTCATGGGCAGGACGTGACGATTCCTTGGGTGAGCCCAGAACCAGGGCATCATGTGTCGGCTCTGCATTTATGGAAGCCTCCTTGGATGGCGGGGAATGCCCATGATCTGCCCCTGCCTTCCCTTGAGGGCTGACAATTCTACCTAGGGCTGCCTTAGGAGGATTTTCCGGGGGCCACACCTGTTAAAGGTCAAAGAGGACACCACACAAATGAGGCTACATCTCGACCCACACAAAACAATGGCCACAGTTAACCTAGAAATAGGCATGACGTCTTCCCTCGAAGTCGGAGTACATCTGCCGGTGAGGCAGGGAACGAGGACTGCAAACAAATAAGACAGTAAAACGGATGTACACGCAAAACTCAGGTCGAGGTAAAAGCCAAAAGTCCATTGGACGAACAACCGCGACTTACCGCCGGAATTCACAGCCGGTGAACAAGAAGAAGAAGAAGAAGAAGAAGAATCGCTTGCACCACAGAATCAGAAACTATATGTATCTTATGCATGCATGCCTGCATGTGCGTTGGGAGGGGGGGGGGGGGGGGGGGGGGGGGGGTGTGTAAAGATTTACTCATTTTAAGGGTTTTAGTTTTGCTCAAGCAGTGGCCTGATTGACAGTTCAGAGGCTTATCTGGCATATGATACTAGACTCCTATTTTTGGACTAATTGACAACAGTGGATGATGGGGTCAGCACCATGCCAGGCACCTTTACTTCCCAGGACATGACCAATTTTAGGCTGGGTCGACCTGGGAGCTAAGGTCAGTTGAAGGGAACAAATCCACCACAGACATTTGAACCCAAGACCTTCCGGCTTGCAGGTGAGCATCTAGCCACTATGGTACCATGGCTCTCCATCCCAGCATTGTAAAAGTGGAAGATGATGATGATGATGGCATTTCACATCCCAGAGGTTGTATGAGGCGTGGAGTAACCTTTGACATTTGTCTGTTACCAGGGTCAGGCTTCCAGACGGTCAACAGCAAGAAAGGCTCAGACGAAGACGCAGAACTTAATGTTGATGGAGATGATTCTGAGGAGTATGGGAAACCACAGTATCCTCTTTGAGACCTTTTTGTTTGTGGATGTTTTTTCATAAATCTAGTTTTTCCAGTCTCAATCTTGTCAGTGTACAGTCTGACTAAATGTTCAGTGTATATATGTATGCATAGGTTGGGGTGTGAGGTGGATGGGCACACATATGTGTGTGTGTTTTACAGTCACTCATTCAACTCGCTCACCTCATTTATGTGTCTCAACCACTCAGTTCAGTCACTGAACAAAAGCACACAACTGAATCATGAAGTTCACTCACTCAAATCTTTTTGTGTATATTTTAGCAGTAACTGAGTAACTTTATTTGGTGAGCAGAGATTCCTCACAATTTGTAGGATTTGTGGTCTCCTATAAACACCCTCTACCCACAGATCTCAAACTGCACTCTCATTGATCCTATCTTACAAGAGGTCTGTTTCTTCTTTGCGTTCTCTGGCTGTAAACTTTGGTGGAAAGTTCTGGTTGTTCATCCACTTCTGGACTTTGGTCTTATTCCAGAACTTAAGTGTTGCATGCATTTCTGTCTTACAGATCTGGCTTATTTATATTCAGACAGTTAGTTTCTCACCTCTCTATTGAGTTTGAAGGAAGCATGCCTGTTTAGTCGCCTTGTGTGACATGCTTGTTGGGGGTGGGGTGGGGGTTGCATCTACCCCTCCCCCCTCCTCCCCCACCCCCCAAAATGGAACTTTGGAACCCACACTAGGAACAACAGATTTGGGTATTTGTTCATGGTTACTTTCTGCTCAGGATGATAATGACATAAATTATACATTGTTTAGATGTTTAGAGTACAGAGTTGCAGAACTGCATTGGGTCCCTCAGGACCAGAGCACAAAGTGGCCAAGACCTGCCTGAACGTCACCGTGGCCATACTAGAAACGGGTTTCCAATAGAAGGCCCGGCCAACATAGATTTTATTGACGTTCCCTCCAGTCGGAGTGCATCTGCTTGAAAGGAAAGGAACCAACAGTCTGCAAACAAATGTGTCGGAATCAAACTGGTCAAGACCTTTTTGCACCTTCTTTCATGGTCATTCTAGAAACAGTTTCCAAATTGAAGGCTTGACCAGTGTAGTTGGGATAGGCCTTTTCTCCGAAGTCGAAGTGTATCTGCCTGAGAGGCTTGAACCAGCATTGTGCACAAAAATCAGCCAGATCTGTAACATATGTACACACATAACTCTACTCCTGGAACAAGACTACGTTGGTCGGGCCACGGATGTAAAAAAGTTGAGGAACATTCTTTACAGGACGTTGCAGAACCAACCCCAGCATTTTTTTGGGGACTGTTTGTGATTTTACTAGTCAGTTTTACAATCACATCAGTGACCCATTCATATTGGTCACCAGTTGGCTGGCCAGTAGACGACTTTATCGTCGGTCGTGACAGTGTTTAGGTCTGTCTCTCTTGATCACATCAACACTGCAAGAGGAGTCATTTTCATGGCTACTTGGTGGCGTGTTTTACAGCCAGTGAATGCTAAGAGAAAGACTGATGTTCTTTCTGTGATGCGTCTGCACCTTGGTAGGGTGCTTTCCAGAGATCCAAAGAGCCAAATCATTGATAGATTAGCTACTGGTAGCATCTTTCATGTTGGGCACTCTAAGGGTATAAGAAAGAAACACAGAGACAACCCTGAGGCCTTGTACTTGAACTAGCAACAGTTAATGGCTTGGGAAAGCCAGATGGATAAAATGCTTGTCTAATCCGGATCTGCAGAACTGTAGTGTAGACTTGACGAAACCAAAAGATTGAGCAGTTGGACATCACATGCAGTATTTTGGAAACTGATTTTTATTGTTTTATTCCTAGAACTTGGGTGTAGAATGTTTGCCTTAACTAATGCAGATTTTTGGAAAAAGATATTCTTCCCTTGGACTCCAAAAATTGCAGCCCAAAGAGTGAAAACCTAGCCACCAGAGCAGCGTTACCTCCAGAGAGCAGGTAAAATTTGATATTCTTCGTAAGAAGACCTCTCTTATGTGATCTTTGTTTGAATTTCTGGCATCTGCTGTTGTATTATGGCGGGGAATTCATCAGGTAGGTCTAGGTTCACAACTTCCTGAGTTGTGTTTGTTCATGACTACAGTGAGCCACAGGAAGCCAGGGCAAACCAGTAGGACACTTAACCTGCTGACCGTTGGTCTTAAATTTGAATTCCTGTCCTCCCAGGGCTGCAATTGGGGGGGGGGGGGGGGGGATAGTAACAATATAGTAACAATAGAGTTACTGCCACCTTTAACTGGCTTCTTGTAATAGACACAGAAGTTAGGAATTTGCTGAAATTAAATTTAAAGGTTAAAGTCGAGAGGATCAGCTTCATTGCTTCTGATTTTGATTCTAAATTCTCGGTCTTTCTCCGCAGAACAGCTAGCTGCCTGCCGAGAGCGCCGCACAGAGTACAATCTCCCTACCTCTGGTGATGATCCCCATCGATCTCTGTGAAAAGTGCACTCAAGAACTGAACGGCAAAGCCGTGAAATGAACCTTCAGAACTCGAGGCAAACGGCTTGATCACTTCGCCACGGGGACCCCCTGAAATTAGATTTGTTGGGCTGAAACCAAAGCCTATCTGTCTATGATGGGAAGTAATCACTAAATACTAACTGAGCAAAGAAATTACTGCTTTCCTTCTCTTTGACCCCAGAACTAAAACAAGGAGTTTTGTTGACAGCCTCACAGAGCAGTGTGTTATCATACATTTAGTTTGATCACCCTAAAAGAAAAATATTTTTGTTTCTATCCCAAATATTATCTCAAAAAAGTTTGTGTGTGTGTGGGGGGGGTGGGGGCACTTCCTTAAAAGCATGTCATCATAAACCCGTAAAAGTCAGCAAACAGGCTTTCTCTGGGGGAACCGGGTTAAGGCAGTTCTGCAGCAGATACTGCCCTTGGAGTGGGATGTTTTAGGTCTACACATGTTACAGGCCATGACACAATAAAAGAAGGTGTCAGATTCTCATATTTTCCTCCTAGACAGTTCTCAGAAATTTGTCTGGTGCTTATATCTGTTGGGCTGGGTCAACCACAAAGCTGAACATAGAATCCTGCCTGTTCTAGGGATGTCGAACCTGCACCACTGAATTGGGCAAGCAGGTACACTAGCTACTTTGCCAGTTTGGCTTTAATGTACATATTGCTTAAAATCAGAGGCTTATTTGGGCAGGAGGGCACAATTTCAGTTTATATATTTTTCTTTTTTAAACTATCTTACCTCTGGATTTAAATTCTAGAGGATTACATAGCATAACGCAACCCTTGACCTGTTAAAGTTGTGGAGGTTTATTGATGGAAGCACTGGCACACAAAACCAGCCATCTTTCTCTGTCTTCCGCGTGATGAATAAATGTATGATAACTTAGTCCTGTGATTCTTGAAGTACAGTCTTTGCAATCAAATCATGTCTCACTACGTGCCTGAACCAAACTGGCTTGCGACATTTTACACTGCCAAAAGGGGCTCCTTGTGCCCCGCAAATTTGTATAATTTATCTCTGACATATTTGTTAGTTTTGTGTTCTAAATAACTAGTTCGTAAAACGCATTTGTAACATTTAAATTCTAGAGGATTAACATCTCAGGGACGAGATTTCAGCAGCTACAAATCCCAGAAAACCCTGTTTTTAACTATATAGCCCTATAGCACAGTTATATACTTGCACACTACAGAACCACATAAGCAGGGTGGGCAACTAATTGTTCAGCGTGGCTGTAATTGACACTGTAGTGAGTACCTGCACCTTCTAGATGAAAAGCACTGCTTAAAATGCACCTGTTGGAGAACACAATTTGTAAAGAGGTGCATCATTGTTTTTGCCACTTGGCTAGGCACTTTATAATGATTATTTAGGTGATTATGTAGAATAAAGTGTCTGATAAAATATTCAGCCTTCTTCAAATAACACTGTTTTTTTTCCTTCTTTTTAAAATTTTTTTTGGGGGTGTGAATTCAGCTATTCTTCCAGAACGGACACAGTAAACTCAGATGGTATGTAATCTCAGTACTTTTTGTTAAGTAATGTTAACTCATTCCTGTCCTGGATAGTTGTTGTATTAACCCATTCAGCCATTATACATGATTTAGCTCCTTCTCTTTTATACAGTTGTCCTTCAGTGTCTGTTTGTCACAGTCATTATTTATTATTTTTATAACCTTATATTTCAGCTAATTTATGTCTAAGGAAATGTAATAGCCCATTCAGTAATAGTTTTTAATTTAGTTTTTTTTATGTGTCTGAACTTACTTGTCTTAGAACTTAGTTATTTAGTCATTAATTCTTTCAAACCTAAAATATTATTAGTTTTAAGAACTGTATCAGAAACGTTTAATGACATATGTAAGAACTCGGCACTCTGTGGCTCTCTGGCAGAAATTCCTGGTTGTTCGCCCAATTCTGGACTTCATCCAGAACTTGAGTTTTGCATGCACATCCATTTACCCACGTAGCTTATTTGTATGCAGACTGTTGGTTTCTTGGCTCTCAGGCACTCCCACTTTAAAGGATCTATTCTGTGTTCCCCAAAATGGAGCCCTGGAACCCACACGGGGAACATTAAAAAAGTTATATATTGATTTGTTTATTATACAAAGTTCATGAAAGATCCCTGATCAGATTTTGAATTTGCCGCTAGCCCCCTCCCCCCCCCCCCCCCACCCCCTTTTTTAAAAACTTGGCACTCAGTGGGTGTTTGGGGTCATTATCACACTGATCACTTTTACTTCCCATGAATTTTTCTTGTACCAATTTTAGGTTGCCTCATGTGGGGGGGGGGGGGGGGGGGGGGGGGGGGGGGGGGGGGGGGGGGGGGGGGGGGGGGGATTCCAAGACATGACCAGTGGATTAGCAGAAGCTTATACAAGTGTGTGAAATATAGCATGTTGTATGAATGATTGGGGTAGGTTCCTTTCCCCCTTTTTTTAGGGTTTTGCTTTGCCTGTTGACATTTGGTCATCTTAAGATTTTGTCGTTGTTACTTCCCCAGGTGGTGGTTGCAGCAAGTCTTCAGCTGCTTATGAAGGATTTGCTCTAGCCAGCCGAGATCAGGGGTAAGTGTATCATTTTGTTATCATCAGGGCTTATTTTCTAGCAGTACTCAGCACCGGCACCTTTTTATTTTGCAGTGCTGCTTTGAGAGACACTTTATGATTATTACTGGCACCATTTCAGACTCTTTTTGGTGAGCATCACCACCTTTCTAGGCATTATTTTCAACACTAGTGCTATAAACATTTTGTGGTGAGTACCGGCACCATTTTAGAAACCTACTGTTGAGTACTGGCACCATTTTAGAAACCTGTTTATGAGTACTGGCACCATTACAGACTTTTTGGTGAGCATCAGCACATTTCTATGCATTATTTTTCAGCACAACTGCAGTAGCCATTTTGTGGTGAGTACCGGCACCATTTTAGGCAAATGATTACTGGCACCTTTATTTCTCTAGGAAAAAAAGCCCTCGTCATCAGTTTCAACATTAACAATCCTGTCTGTTTACGAGCACTTGACCCTTCTGTAAAGCCTTGTCTCTACAGCTTCCACTCAATTCCTCACTAATATTCATTCATTTATGCATTCATTCAGAGGTCTGCATGGTCTCGTGGCATGGTGCCGAGTGCTAGAGGTTGCGGGTTCAATCCCCGGTAAGAGCTAGGATTTTGTTCACATGGACTTGGACTTCTAGTAATTCCCCACTGGTCTCTGAGTAGTAAGATCAGACACCTGTGTGCATTGTTGAACATGTAAAAAAAATCCCCTGGCGGTTGGAAATTAAAAAGAGTAGCCTAACGGCACTGCCCAGGCAAAATTTGGAGTTTAAAATCTACCAAAAGTATTTCAGGATCCACGCCGGTGCTACAGAGCCTGCACACTGTGCTGAGCTTCTTTGGGCTCAGACTTGAGTTAGAAGAAGAACGGAGCACTTATGGGTTACTACCAGTCTGCCATGATGCTGATCCGTAGTTGAAAACCTTCAAACATTCATTCTTTCAATGTCTTTTTGTGCCATAATATGTCACATGGGGCTCACAGTCTATTCCAGCAGCATCAGTCTCTCATCAACCATCTTTTTAAATGTTTTTTTTTACTGTATGTGTGTGGATGTCCTGACTTTCTCAGTCCCTTTATTTCCCATTGTATAACCTCTTTAATTATTCTGTCCACGTTTCTTAGGATGGGTCCAGTATAACGCCGTCTTCTTTATATTGTATCTGTTGCAACCAGTGGTTGACCAGATATTTCTTCACCGCTCTTGAATTTAGCCCATTTTATATTCAGTATTTTCCTCAGGCATTTGTTTTCAAAAAAACTTTCTTTCCGTGTCTATAGCCTCACTAATATATTGACTTTTTGATTGTTTTTTAAACATAATCTGGATTTATAAACCTGAATTAACTTGTAGAATAAGGTTAGTTGCGTATCCTTTAGAGGACGTTGCAGAACCAACCCCAGCAGCCCCTGGCTGTTGTGTGATTTTTCTAGGCAAATTAACGTCCAGTAGTTTGCCATTGCGTTCTGGACGGTAGGCTCTCTTGATACCACTGTCGAAATCAACGCAAGGCGGATGGGCCGCAGCTGGGATCAAACCCGGCATCCCGGCATTACGAAGTGTTCACATCAACTTAGCCATAGAGCCAACAAATAAGAAAAAAAATAAAAAAAAAAAAAAAAATCATGCAGCATTTCATAATGACAATAAAATATGACCAGATTAAGAGTTGACAGGGCTAAAAATATTTTTTCTTTCAACAGGGGAGACGATCAGTCGGCATCTGCACTCATATCAGCACTTCGTCTGAAGTTACGGGACCTGGAGGCAGAAAGGACAGAGAAGCAGAAATGCCTGATATGCATGGTAACTGTTGGCTTTGGATCTTGCTTGTCCAAAATACAGAATGTTTTGATTGCATTTGTTTTTTAACTGTCCCTTATTTGGGTGGTTAGGGAGGGTGGTGTAGTGGCTAGGTGCTTGCCTGTGGATCAAAAGCTTGTGGGTTCCTGACCTGATGAAACCAGACATTTAAAAAAAATGGCTTCCCGGACGACCTTGTATTAAATTGGTGCCAGTTACAGTTCTGGGAAGTAAAGGCAGCTGACGGGATGCTGACCAGGTCACCCATCGAATGCCTGTTGGTCTAGAAAATATAGGTCCAGCCCTATATGCCTAAAAGCGGGAAAAGGGGTCCTTTTCCTGACTTCGTTACTTTTTGTCGGCCTCTTTTTGGTTGAGGGTTTATGAATGCAGTTCACAATGAAATACCTGATTTGATTCAGCTGCAGTTGGTTTGACAGCAGAATGCTTTGCCTTGGTCTGGACAAACACTGGACAAGAAAGCAGTGGCAAACTACTGAATGTCAAATTGCCTAGAAAACCACAAACAGCAACAACAAAAAAAAAAAAAAAAAAAAAAAAACTGGTCCGTTTGCAAGATTTGGCTATGGATACACAGCTAACTTGTTTGTGTGTCTGCATACATTTGTAGAGCGTTACAGTGAATCTGAGAGGTCCCTGGGTGGGTTCTGGAGCCCAAGATCCGACTGATGTGGGGCTTCTTTTAAAATTGGAATGCATCTGTTTAAGAAGCAAAAATACCCAAAAGTCTGCATACACATAAGTCAGATCTGTTACACAGATGTGTACGCAACGCTCAGCATCTGGAACAACACGAGGTCCAGAGGTGGATGAACAGCCAAAACTTTCTGCCAAGAGTTACAGACAGTGAACACGAAGAAGAAAAGAGTTGTGATAGCACAGAAGTTAGCATTCTTGCCAGCCAGTCCGAGATTTAACTCTTTGAATCCCTGACTGGACATATTTTGAAAATAGATCTAGGCTGCCAGGTCGGCTTAGCTTCATAAAAAGGCGGTCGGCAGATAATAATCACATCACTGAAGATAAACCTGAAACATAAACCCCAGTCTCTTCCTTGAAGTCCATACTGCATGTGAATGAAACATTGCCACATTCATTGATTTCAAAGCATATTTTATCTATAGAGTGACTGAAAAATAATTCTATATTTCAAAATATATCTAAATTACTTCTCTTCTTCACTTCCTTTTTACCTCTTCTGGTGTCGAGAGAGATATAAGATTCTGTTTCTTGCTGTTCTGACTGCCTGGACCATAGACACATTGTGCTGTTGTAGAGATTCTCTGATGTTATCTTTCTATTTGTTCTTGGTCTACCTCATGCACCATGTCCTTCTCCTCTTTTCCTGATGCCTCAAATGATGCATCACACAGTGTTATCTCTAAGTGGTCACACCATCTGATTTGATGTCTTTGTATGTAATTTCAAATTGGTTCTGTGCTTGCTTCTTCTCTTATGACCTCATTCTAAACTTAACCTCCTCTGGTCACTCCTTTAGCCCTTCTTAGACAGCTCATTTCCGTGGTTACTAATTCTTCTTCTTTGCATTCACCAGCTGTAAACTCCGTGGAATGTTCAGGTTGTTCGACTACTTCTGGACTGTAGTCCTGATCCAGAACCTTATTGTTGCATGTGCATCCGTTTTACAAATGTTATTTGTATGCAGACTGTTGGTTCCTTGCCTCTCAGGCAGATGCACTCTGACTTCAAATGAAGCTTCCAATTAGTCGACTCCTACATGCTTTTGGGGAGGCAGTGGGTCTATTCTTGTTTTTTCTTATAATAAGGCCCGTGAACCAACACAGGGAGTTACTAATTTTATTTTCTGATTTGTTGTCTGGCAATGCTAGCATAGGCTTGGAATGAATCTGCTTTAAATCAGATATTTCTTTGTCTGATTGAATATAAAGTGTGTATTTAAGGTAACTTTGATAGTCAGACTTTTGAGATTTTCATTCGAAGCCTCCTTGTATATTCAGTGTTATCTGTCATATTGTATTCAGAGCTTTAATTACAAGACTTTTCTCTTTGTGAGTTGATTTCTTTCAGGACATCTTCAATTTGATCAATCACAAATTTTATGCCAATCTTTAATTACAGGAGCCGTACCGAACACCCCTGACCTCTATACAGTGCTGGCATGTTCATTGTGAAACGTGTTGGATGAGAACTTTGGTAAGTTTCACACAGTGACTGGCACATCTGCGTGGCTGCAACATGAAGCCAGAAACACTGTATCTTATACTGAAATAAGAATATTCATTTGTTCTTTACTAAATGACAAAAGCCAGGAAGCACCAAACAGATACCTGGAAGGTTTCATTATGATCACCATGTTGTGCCATGTTTATTTCCTATTGGGCTCACAGTGCATACACCCAACCCATCTGTCAAAAACATGGATGGAATCCAGTCCACCACCTTGGGCACCTCTCATCAACATTCGTTTTAAGGCTTCTCCTGGACATCCTCTTGTCCTCGATCCAGTTTTATTTCCCAATTCAGTGCCTGTTTGGGAATTCTCTGCTTGCTTCTTTTCAGTATGTGCCCAAATTTGTGCCATCTTCTTTAACTTAAAACTGTTGTTGTTCTTATTTGTCTGCTGTGTGGTCACCTGCTATAAACTCTGGTTAAAAGTTCTGGTTGTTATCCACTTCCAGACTTTGGTCTTGTTCCAGAAACTGCACATCTATTTAAAGATCTGGCTTAGAAGGAAACATCCCTAATTAGATAGCTCTTGGTACATGCTTGTTAGGGGGCGATGGGTATATTTTCCCTCACAGTTGGGACCCCAGAACCCATACGGGGAGTCTTATAACTGTTGATACCAGAGATTGTCTGTTATTTCTGTTATTTCTTTACCTGTCTGCAAGGAGGTTTGGCCACATGGAGTAATGGGGATAAGAACACAGACCTGATCCAAACTTTGTGATCGTGTGAGATGGTGAACCAGGATTATTGTCCTGGCACATGGTTATGATGATACCAGGGTGGAATGGCTTAGATTTTATGACATCTGTTTACGGCTTGAGCGCATCTGGTTGAAATCACTGTGTGGATTTGTTTATTTAAATAAAATTTTAAAAAAGAAATTAACGAAGAGATGGTAGTATGCTCTCCCCAATCCTGGAGTACTGGATCAGTTATCCAGTCTTCTCAGACATGTGTGAAAATATCAGAGGATCAGTTATCCAGTCTTCTCAGACATGTGTGAAAATCTCAGAGGATCAGTTTTATCCATTCTTCTCAGACATGTGTGAAAATCTCAGAGGATCAGTTATCCAGTCTTCTCAGACATGTGTGAAAATCTCAGAGGATCAGTTATCCAGTCTTCTCTGACATGTGTGAACATCTCAGAGGATCAGTTATCCAGTCTTCTCAAACATGTGTGAACATCTCAGAGGATCAGTTATCCAGTCTTCTCAGATGTGTAAAAATCTCAGAGGATCAGTTATCCAGTCTTCTCAGACATGTGTGAAAATCTCAGAGGATCAGTTATCCAGTCTTCTCAGACATGTGTGAAAATCTCAGGATCAATTATCCAGTCTTCTCAGACATGTGTGAAAATCTCAGAGGATCAGTTATCCAGTCTTCTCAGACATGTGTGAAAATCTCAGTTATCCAGTTTTCTCAGATGTGTAAAAATCTCAGAGGATCAGTATTACAAATTCCCAGGCAGTTGGAAATTTAAAAGGGTGCCTTGAATTGGCTGCTGCTTGGACCAAAGATTCCCAGATTGCTCTTTAACAAGCATTTCCTAATTGATTGACTGCCTGATATTTTACCCCACCAGGACATCACACTGAGCAACCGACATCTGGTGGCACAAAGGGCCACCTTTCAGATGAGGATCCTTAGACGTAGGGTTATAACAAAAATAATGAAAAATTGCATCTCACATGGGGACGGACTACTGTTTAAAAATTAAAGGTTTGCTGAAATTAAATGTGTTGGATAAAAATGTGCAAATATCGCAGCCTAGTTGTAAATCACAACGAAAGGTGCCAACCACCCTCTGCAAGGTGAACACAGAATTATAAAAATGTGTCAAGTGGAACTTGATGATGTCCAGTTTTGTTTGCTTTCTTTTGCTGTTTTTTGTGTGTGTCTTGTTTTATGAAAATCATTTGTTTTGTTTCTTTCAGGGAGCTAAAAAACTGTGCCCCCAGTGTAACATGATAACCTCACCATCTGACTTACGAAGGATATACTTATAGCAGACACAGTGTTGTTTGTGAATATGCATAATATACATATCTAGGAAGAAAGATTACATTTGCGTAATAAACCACTGTTCCATTATAATTGTACAGGTTTAATTCTGGTTTATTTGGTCACAATCAGGTCAGAGAGATATCTTGCTTGCAGGAGTATTTGACAAAAAGGAAAAAAAAGTGACAAATGTGGGTATGCATTAGTTAGCAGATTATCCCCACTGCACATTGAACTATTCATATTCAGATCACTTCATTAGTTCCCTGAGGATCATCACTGGAGCTACAGAGTTCATGCTTTGTGTGACATTCTTAGCAGGCAGCTAGCCATTCTGTGTGTGTGTGTGTGTGTGTGTGTATGAGAGAGAGAGAGAGAGAGAGAGAGCCATATGTGATAAAATCCAGTGCAATGAAGTTGATCCTCTGACCTTTAACCTCATTAGTTAACCTCAGTGTTTACTGGCAGACAACACCAGTTCCATGGTGGTATACCTTGTGTGTGTGCAGTTTGTGTTGAGTGTGTGGGTTAGGGGAGGGAGGGGGGCGCCTCGGAATAGCACTCTCGTCTGACATCACTCGACCCTTGAACTGCTGCTCTTGCAGTCTGGTCAAGATCAAGTAATAACACTGTAATATACGTACTATGAATGTCATATGCACTGATTAAAAGTTGGCGTAAGACCAGTGAAATGGTTTGCCCACTTAGAGAGAATGCCTTGTGACACCATACCATACAAAGCATACATGGAAAGAGAAGAAGGACGTAGAGCACGGGGTAGACCAAGAACAAGATGGAAGGATAACATCAGAGAAACTCTACAACAGCACGATGTGCCTATGATTGAGGCAGCCAGAAGAGCTAGAAACAGAACCTTATATCTCCCTTGACACCCACAGCGGTAAAAGAGGAAGTGAAGAAGAAGAAGAAGTAAGACAAATGGCTGTTTGGCTATATCATTAGGTAGAAAAGTTCTGCTGTCATTTCCAGCCAGCCATGAATAAGGTCACAAAGATAATCATATAAGTTGGTTGAGGGCCTATGCCAGATCAGCAGATGAAAGGCAGAAAAAAAAGGAAGGATGTTGTATATGCACGTGTGTGTGCGTGCGCGCTCTTGCACGTGCGCACCTGATGAAGATTGATGATACATATGTCAGCCCGGTCCGGACTTTGTAACATTGCGAGCCCAATATAACCTTACGGTCGAATGTGGCTTACCAGGATTTGTACATGTAGGATTCTCGTCCTTAAGGTGTTAATCCTGAGGATTGCAATCCTGGAGAGAGCAAACTGCAGCTGCTGAAATTCCTGGGAACATTTTGCTTATGTTTTGTCATTGGACAGACCAGAATTGTTCCTGTACATATATAAATATATTTACTGTACATTCGAGTCATTTGTTGAGATTGTGCCATGACTCAATACTTTGTTTAAAAAAAAATTTGATTGGGAAATATAAATCAGAGGGAAATGTTGTCAGTATTTGTTAATATGAATGTTTGTGATGGATTACGTACGGCAAGAGAAGGGCCAAGAATCAAATGATTAGATTCTATACTTACTTGAAATATGCTAAAATTGAGATCATAGATAATAGATGTACTGTATATGCAAGTTTTTAAGAACATAGATAATGGTTAAATAGATTTGCTGTACGTGCAGTTTATTAAATGAGAACATAAACAGATGAATAGATGTTATATAGAATTGATTTATAAACAGAATAATACATGGATGGATAAATAGATGTAACATGCAAGTTTTTGTTTGAGAATGGAGATAGGTTAAGAAGCTGTTAAGAACATGGATAAATAGATACACATTATATGCTAGTTGATGATTGAGAGTGAAGATAGATGGTTAAATGGATTTACCTTATATGCAGGTTGTTAAGAAAATAGATAAAAGATAAATATTCTTTTGATTTGAGTTATTAATTGAGAATGGTGGTTGGATAAATTATCTACTGTACATTCAAATTGTCGATTAAGAATATAGATATTGGTTCATAGATGAAAATGATCAATAGATGTACCCTACATGCAGTTTGTTGATTGAGCATGGAGATAGATGAATAGAAAGGTAGGTTGGTGATGAAAACATAAATAGATGCACTTTAAAAGCAAGTTGTTGTTGACTGAATATATGCGTAACCTGACAACATAGTTTTGAATGTTTGTAAGCAGACACACGAATAAATGGAAGATAAAAACAGAAATTCTGTCAGTGTTTGTTTAATATGTGCATGCTTATGGCAAATGTTATACTGTGTATGAAAGTTGCAAGCTGACCCTATTGCTCCCAGAAAGTTTTACACACAAATTATCTTCCATAAAAGACAACTATTGCATGCTGCATTCATTATAGAAAAACAGATCAAATGTTGTCACTTCTGAGTTTGACCTCAGCCATGTTAAATATTCAGCTTTGTCTGGGTCACAAACAAGATGGTGCAGATTGTTTTACTTCTTGGGAGTTTCTAGTTTAGAAATTCAAAAAATAAAATAAAAAAACTGGTAGTGAATATTCTTTCATTTGCTGAATGGAGAGTTGCAATCGCCAAAGTTTGCATGAGATTGCAACAACACATTTTTGTAACCACAACATAAGGATGTTAGAAAAAATAGAGTGACCAATACTGCTACTGAAGGTCAACCAATGGATCGGTTGTCATCATTAACACCCTTTGTTGAAAGTCTGGCTAAAATTACTATAAATAGCCTTAATATAACTACTTTACTTTTAATGACACTGTCTTGAAAACGAGTCAAAATGTAATAATATGTGATAGATTTAGGGGTTGTAACAAAATAGAAAAATAGGTCTCAGCTTGACGTTGTCAATCAATCAGATGCCATGTCTACACTGAAGATTGGCTGCAGTGGTTGTAAATCTTGGTTGTACACTCTCTCAAACTGTTGGCTGCAGTGGTTGTAAATCTTGGTTGTACACTCTCTCAAACTGTTGGCTGCAATGGTTGTAAATCTTGGTTGTACACTCTCTCAAACTGTTGGCTGCAATGGTTGTAAATCTTGGTTGTACACTCTCTCAAACTGTTGGCTGCAGTGGTTGTAAATCTTGGTTGTACACTCTCTCAAACTGTTGGCTGCAATGGTTGTAAATCTTGGTTGTACACTCTCTCAAACTGTTGGCTGCAATGGTTGTAAATCTTGGTTGTACACTCTCTCAAACTGCTGGCTGCAATAGTTGTAAATCTTGGTTGTACACTCTCTCAAACTGTTGGCTGCAATGGTTGTAAATCTTGGTTGTACACTCTCTCAAACTGTTGTCTCTCTATCTCTTGATGTTGTCCTGTTTCTGGTAGTCTTAGTTTCAGCTTCATAGTAAATGGGTCACCCCATCTTTGCTCCGCTCCTGTGCCAACGAAAAACACACAGAATGTTTATCACAGTCCCTTGTGGAAAGATTGACAGACTGCTGTCACAGCATATCTAGCATACACTCGCATTTAAGCATACGGTAGCCATCCGAAGTGCTAACACAAACAGTCAGACATTAGAAATGCAGTTCATCATTGATGGTAGCAGAAGTCACCAACAGATCAGCAGTTGCCCACGCGATAAATTTTGATCACATACGGACACCACCAACATTGCGACAACAGGCATCACACCATTTTCTTGTGGTCACAGTCGAAAAAAACGTTCCAAATGGAATCTGCAGCTCACAGTGTCATGCCATGCATTCAACTCAGAAGCTGGGTGACAAAACTATTTCTGTTTCTATGTCCTGTTTCTATCTTTGTCTACCCTCTTGCCTTCAGTTTTTCTCTCTAGTAAGGGTTTGAACACATCAAGGGCCTATGGAGTTAGTCCACATCTAGTCAACATAGGTAAATGTATATATTACAATAGCCTAGATGTAGTGAGATCTTCTTCATCATCAGCCATGCTAAACATTTAGTCCCGTTTGGGTCACAAATAAGGTTCTGCAGCTGCAGAGATACCTGGATAATCTCAAGATAGAAGCAAAAGCACAAGAAATGAAAATGAACATTGAAAAAAAGAAAACAAAAAAAAGGCAATGTCCTCAGAAGTTATGACCATTGCAAAAATTGAACAACTAATCAATATAGGCATAGAAAACCAGCAACTCAAGCAAGCATAGTAAGACTTCAGGTATGGAGGAAGCATAATATTATTCAATGGAAAAAATGAAAGCACAGACAGAATACAGATGTAATAAAGCAAATCATATTATTGGACGGATGCTACAAATTTTGAAGAACAAACATGACACAACTGATACCAAATGAGCACTATTAAATACAGTATTTAAAAAAAAAATAAAATAATGTGTTACCAGTGCCAAACGCGGAAATTAACGAAGAGAGGAAAAAAAGAAATCTAAATGTAATGGAAGAGACAGGATCAGAAATGAGACATCAGAAAAAGAAGTTGGGGATAAAACCAGTGCTAAAATACATCATGATACAACAGATCAAATAGTTAGGACATGTATCAAGACTTTCACCATGTAGTGTATCACAGAGAGTCAGCATTTTGCTTAGACATAACTAAAGCAGAGCCAGAGGTTGACCACGCAAACAATGGAATATCCGTGGCCATAAATACCAGCTTCTATCTACACAGCATAGGGCTATTCAACTGGCCTGAGAAGGCCTAGCCCATGGCCCGCTAATCAGTGCCAGCTACATTATGTTAATGATCTTTCTATGCTGGGGCGCAAGCCTCTGACCCGTGATGATCCACGTTTACCTAATTTTGGCCCCTGAGTAAACGTGGTTGAATAGCCCTGACATAGCGCACATAAAGGTGCACAGCCGATGCCTCCTCAAAACCTGACACTGAACTGCAGCACAGGACCAAATAAGAAGATGGTTTTTAACTCTCTCAGTCCCAGGAAGTTCTTAATTCATTGCTGGTCTTTTCTAACATATGTCTACCTTAGAACAACAATTTATAGTCTTATCTTACTGAAAGTTGGGAGTCGTCATGATGTAGTGGCTAGACGCTCACCTGCAGATCGGAAGGTCATGGATTGAAGTCCTGACAGAGCTGGACCTGGACTCTCAGGTCGACCTAGTCACGAGTGGGTACCAGGTACAGTCCTGGGAAGTAAAGTCGACCAGAGCGATCTTGACCACATGCCGACTGTTCTATAAAATATAGCTCTAGCCCTATAGGCCCTAAAGGTGTGGAAAAGGGTCCCTTACTTTACCTTTTTTTTTAATTGAAAAATACAGCTTTGGGGCAGGAGCAATTTTGTAAGAAATGATTTAGAACCATTTAATATACCATATGAATGAGACATAAACAATTTGGCGTGAGAATCTGGTTTTTATCAAAAAGTGAGAGAAAAAAATTGCTTATTTATAAATCAGGCCAAAAATAAAAACACTCATTTCATGTGATTCTAAGAGACAAATAAAATGCGAGTACTGTCCATGACTTTAACAACTTTAAGGAAACAACATGTGAAAATTCCATTGATTTTAAATAAGTGGTTTTCATCAGTGTTAACTATCTTTTGAAAGAGACCATATTACTGAAGCTTATGAGTAAATCTGACAAAAAAACCAGCTTTAAGTTTAAAGTCCTACACCCCCTGCCTGTTCCAGATTTGTGCCCAGCAATGTAAGGACAGTAACTGCTCATTCATCGTTCAGTGCTTTATTAATACCCTACCCCAAACAGGGGAAATCCACCGGACAGTCTAATATTTTAGGGGGGTGGTAGCTGTGTGACCAAGGCTGCACTCTTTCGTGGGACATATATGGGTTGGGGTTAGGGCCAGTTTTAGATGTTTTGGGGTCGTCAAAAGCATCTGAAAGCCAGAAAACCCTGTCTTACCACCCTCTAAAATATTGGACTGTCCTGTGACGAAGAACCCATTGTTCTTTTTTAGAGCTGAAATAAGAATCATCTGGTGGTACATATCACGAAGATGCCTACATGCTGCCGGATGCAAGATTTTGCTGACTCCCATTCAAGCTGTGGCCTGTTCCCACAGGCTCTACTATGTTGTAGGGGTGTTAGGATATGTGCTCCTTCACCTCCTCCATCTATACACGCCATGCATGGAAACTCGGCTCCCATTCATTTGAGGCCTGACACAAAAGTTTTGAGATCTCTATCGTGGCAGGCGACATTGAGCTATGGTTTTCTTTTGTTTTTCTGTATGCCAGAGAAGCTTCAACTAGTTTTCTTTTCTCTCTCAACTACGTCTCTCCCGCAGCAACACTGATTTGAGAATTGGTGACTTTTTTGGGCGGGCCCTGAAAAGGGCTGACTGGGGTGGGAGATGGAAGGGGATTGGCTACTCTGCTTGTTGCTCACCAATGCTGGCAGATGAAGAAAATTCATGACGAAGGTCAAGTCACCAAGTAAGCCCGCATGGATAGCCAGCCATAAGACAAGTAACACATATAGTGCCGCCTGCTAATGACGTGGAAAACAGAACGTGCTGGCCGATCACAACCTGGAATATAGAATGCTTTTAGCGTTGAAAATAACAAAAGGTGACACCCCTACAACATACCACAGCCTGTGGGATATGTCGTGCCCCGTGAGATGTGGGCATCTTCGTGATATGTACCCATCTGGTATCTATCTCTTCTGGAGGGAACATGGTGGTTAGCATTTATATTTTCACTGGGTGGCTGTTATCATTATTTACTCACATGACTAAGAAAGAGACAAACACTGTTCTTTGGCCACATAATGAGAAGAGAGACAATGAAGAACATCGTGACAAATAGAAAGATCAGTGGAAAAAGTTGTAGAGGCAGACCAAGAGAGATGGTGCTGAAACGATGACATAGAGGAATATCATCAAGAGAGCTGTTCCAGGCAACCAGGGAGTGTGATCTGTGGATACGCAAAAGCGCCTACGCCAGTTGGCAGGGCATATGATGATGATGACTCACATAACATTTCTGAAGAACGCTCTCAGGTCCCCACAGGTTTTCCTTGATGAGTCTGGAGATACAACAAACTACACAAGACTGCCAGAGGGACATACATTCACATACAGTTAACTCACTGCCTACCACAATCTACATGACATAACAGTTTCCCAAACTAATAAACACAAAGCCACTTTAAACAGTTTGCAAAGTGAATCCTTTATTTACAAGATAAGAAACATGTTAATAATTTTTATGAACACCTGAGATACCTAACACTTCTGAAGCCTGTACTTGAAGAATGCAATTTACTTATTTTATTTTATGTAAACTATTGTTCATTATATTTTGTATGTATAAATGTGTGTGTGTGTGTGTACAGGTGCACATGAGGAGTCCATAATGAAAACGGGCTCAGCTGTTCAGGACAAGCTGGTGTAACTTGCTGAAAACTGCTGAGGTCACAGAAACAGCATAATCAACAAAATGACATGATTTTATTGCTACTCACAGTTCCCGATGAATGAAACATAGAGAAGTAAATACACTAGACAACGTAAACTATAGTACAAGGACAGACTCAAACCTGTTATCTATAAATGACAATAGTACCAAGTGCATTTCTTCCTGCCGTAAGGTGCCACCATCATTTGGAAGTGACAGGTTCATGTCTCAGTATATTAACTACATCTTTCTACTATTCCTAACTCCTCTTCTTTCCTTTGCATCTACTACTGCCAGTAATGACAGTTCAGTTTGTTTATCAGCCCATGCTGGTGTAGAGGGTAAATAAATGGATCAACATGTTATCAGGCAGAATGCTACCCTTTTCTAGTATCCCAATGCCTTATTTTACCAATATGTTAGCAGTACATATTTGTTTATAGGAACTGTTGAATCCGTAGATAAAATAAGGTTGTCCATGAAAACACTTATCACAGTTCAGCACCATATTAAACATGAAATGTTCACCGCCTATAGTAGTCCCACAAGCCATTATCACTTTGCTTTTTTGGCCTTTTCAGAGAGTTCACCAGCAGCAACTTCCAAGTCGTCATATTCTGGAAACGCAACTGTAGAATAAAAAACAACAACCATTACAGATTGTGACACCGGGAGCACAACTAAAAAAAAGTTAGTTGTGACTACCTACACATACACAATTATCATCATCATCATGTTGCAGGTCTTTTGCAGAACACAGCTCTTGTCACCTATGCTGGAAAACCACTCAGTCCCCACAACTTTGCCATGTATGAACCGCCGTCATGTCCAAAGTATTCTCGATACCAGTGTGACGATACCACTGTGTCCACCTTCACACTGATTGACTCTTCCTTTGTCTCACAGGAACCATATATCCTACTGTTCTATGCAAATTCCTGATGTGGGTTCCAGGGTCACATTTTTCAGGAAAAGAAAAATGACCCACTGTCCCTTCACCTCTTCACCTTGTTACTCCGTGAAAGCATTTTTGAAATGTTGACACGTGTGTGTGGTGTGGTGTGTGTGCGTACGTGTGTGTTTAGTCGCTGTGACATCATGGCAGCCACCATGGCCTAGTGGCTAGACCCTCACATGTGGATCGGAAGGTCGTGGGTTCAGGTGGGGGCTGGACTTTTTTCAAAAATGGCCTTGGCTCCCAGGTCGACCCAGCCAAGAGTGGGTACCAGGTACAGTCCTGGGAAGTAAAGGTGGCCGGTGTGTCGTACCAAGTGCCGTTTGGTCTATGAAATATAGGTCTAGCCCTCTACACCCATAAGCCTGACAGTATGGAAAAAAGGTCCTTTCCTTTTTAACTGTGACATAATGAACATAACATAACCCTTGACCCATTAGGGTCATGGAGGTGTACTGATGGAAGTACTAGCACATAAAATCCGCCATCTTTCTCTGTCTTCCACTTGATGAATAAGTGTATGATAACTTAGTCCTGTCCATTTCTTAATGTTGTCATTCCAGGTTCTTCTTTGCCCTTCTCTTCTTCGACTACCCCCTAATGTTCCTGAAGGACAGTCTTTGCAAATGAATTATGTCTCACCACGTGCCCAAACCAAGCTAGCTTGCGACAGGCGCCACTGCCAAGAGAGGCTCCTGATGTCCCGCAAATTTGTATATTTTGTCTCTAACATATTTATTAGTTTTGTGTTCTAAATAACTTATTCGTAAAATGTGTCTGTAGCATTTACATTCGAAAGCCTGAAACCTCTTTCCATTTCCACAGTGAGAGTCCAAAATAGACAATACCAGAGAATTTTTAATATTGACTGCGATGTGGATTTTGCTCTTTCACCTTGTATTCAACTGCTAAATCGCGGCTATGGCCATATCAAGTATTGTCTTGATCTCTTTGGTACAGCTGCCATTGTTGCATGTGTGGGAGCCAAGATATTTAAAGTTTCAACTTCTAGTTTTTTTCTCTTTTGTCTAAATGTTGATAAACTTAACATAATGTCAATTTGCTTTTCATAGTTGTATCAACAAAATCCTGTTTTCTTGGTCAAAGAGAAAGAAAGCAGTTATTTCTTTGTTATGTTTGTATTTATTAATTACTCTCTTTTTCACCCACCCATACTCACACACATATTTTTAGTAAAGATCCCCTTTAACGTCTTTAGACGCATCGGGCATATGGGAAGAGCACCCATATTTTTACAGACCAATTGGCACGTAATGTGGTCAGCAATACGCCGCATATATATATATATATATATATATATATATATATATATATATATATATATATATATATATATATATATATATATATATATATAACGTGTGCAAAAGAGTGACTCTAAAATGAAAAACCCATCTTTTTAATGACGTGGAAGCTGCGATGATGCACTAGCTAGCAGGTTTGCCTGTCTGCTCTGTGGTAATAGTTTTTAACCTTAGGAAAAAGTTGCAGAGAAATATAATGAGTAGTTGCTTTTCAACTAACTTTTGAAGAAAAATACAAGTCATGTTTAAAGATTTGCCTGGGGTAAAAGTGTCAGCAAGTATGGGTGACCAACAAAAGATTTGTGTAAATTGGATATGTTAAGCATAAAAACGCAGATATCGCAGTCTAGCTGTAAACCACCATACAACGCACCAATCACCCTTTGAAGGTGAACATAAAGAAAAAGTTTTCCCCGACACATACACTATATGATTTGTAGTAAAGTACTTACTGTTTTTGATGTTTGATTTGATGTCTTCTGCCACGCCATCACGAGGAGTTATAAGAGGCTGAAAGAATAAACATTATCCTTGGATTAAAGACAAACATTTCTCTTTCACTTCAATCTCTAAAACTAAATAATCTTACAGCTTCTGCTTGAACTAGTTTCTCTGCTGTCTGTCAGTACATGTCTATCTGATAGGTTGAAGATATAAACTATTCAAATAATTATTGTCATTATACCATGAAGCAAGAAAAAAAAATCCTAAAAGATTTGAAGATCAAGGAATACTCGCTAGTGAACAGCTTCTTATCTCAGAAACTGAAATATCTTGTTCACATCAAGCAAACCGTTTTTGTAAAAAATGTGAATCTTTTTTAGGAGTTCCCTTTTAGTTCCATACAACTTTGAGTGTAGTGTTGACTCAATGGGCCATTTTTTCCTTCTTAATAGGCTGTACAAGGAATATTCTTGTAGGACATGTTCTGTAGGCTGCACACACAGCCCATAAGGGCACAATGGTGAACTACTTAGACGAAGCTTGTGCACATGCTTGTTAGTTTGTTATGTCCTCTCCTAAGGCATCGAATAATGACTTGCCCATGCTGGTCAAGTAAATGGTAGTCATCCCAGGCCAGACTCTGTTTTCTGATCAACTGGATGGCCCTTTTCTTCTCATAGTATGTTAGTGAATTCACTTCTATACAACAGTGTACTTTTGTCCTATGAGGGAAGTAGACCTCAAGACCATCTGAACAGGCTAAGTTCAACATGCAGAAGACATGGCATGAAAGTAAATACAATCAAACTGAAATAATATAGGACAGCAGAATTCCTAGTCCGCTACACACAGGGTTAAATGGTACTTGTCTGAAGCAAGTTAAAGAATTTAAATATCAAGGAAGTATACTCTTAGAGGATGAGAGAATATATTGGGAAACAAAAACAAGATGCCAACGAACCAGAGAACTTATAAAACCAAATGACAATGTTATTAAGACATCCAAACATAAGTATTGATGCCAAGAAGAAGATTATAAACAGCATATTCATACCAACACTGTGCTACCTGAGCCAGACTCAGTGGCGTTAAACAGCTTCTACATGGGCACAGATTGAGAATAGTCATTGCTGCCCATCTAGCAAAGGATCGCAAACTGTTTCTCCCCATGAGGCTTAATGGCAGAAATAGAAATTGATGATGATGATGACTTCTGCCCTACCTTCTTGCTAGGATATTTCTTTTCCAGTTCTGCTGCTCTCAACTTAGTTTTCAGCATCTGTTTGTGGTTTGCTTCAATTTCCTAAATTAAAGACAACAATAATTTAAAGGGTAGTCATGCACTAAATCTGTGCTCTAAGGCTGAAAATGTGTGTGCTAGCATAAATTAGACAGAATGGTTAAGCTGAATTAAGAATTGATATCATGGCAATCAGGACATACCCATAATCACTCATTGCCCACCCTCAGTAGCAAATGCAAAAGAGAGAACACTTACCAAATATATATAAGATCATTTACTATCATTTACTATCTGACTAAAATCCATCTTTGTACACCATGTGGCTAAAACCTGTCATTAAATATATGCATCTGAATGAAATCTCTCACTGCACTTTTGAGTCTGTATTAAATCTCTCACTGCACTTTTGAGTCTGTAGAAAATCTCTCACTGCACTTTTGAGTCTGTAGAAAATCTCTCACTGCACCTTTGAGTCTGTATAAAATCTCTCACTGCACTTTTGTGTGTAGAAAATCTCTCACTGCACTTTTGTGTGTAGAAAATCTCTCACTGCACTTTTATGTGTATAAAATCTCTCACTGCACTTTTGTGTCCGTAGAAAATCTCTCACTGCACTTTTGTGTGATAAAATCTCTCACTGCACTTTTGATTGTATAAAATCTCTCACTGCACTTTTGTGTGTAAATAAAATCTCTCACTGCACTTTTGTGTGTATAAAATCTCTCACTGCACTTTTGTGTCCATAGAAAATCTCTCACTGCACTTTTATGTCTGTAAAAAATCTCTCACTGCACTTTTGTGCTTGTAGAAAATCTCTCACTGCACTTTTGTGTGTAGAAAATCTCTCACTGCACTTTTGTGTGATAAAATCTCTCACTGCACTTTTGTGTCTGTAGAAAATCTCTCACTGCACTTTTGTGTGATAAAATCTCTCACTGCACTTTTGATTGTATAAAATCTCTCACTGCACTTTTGTGTGTAAATAAAATCTCTCACTGCACTTTTGTGTGTATAAAATCTCTCACTGCACTTTTGATTGTATAAAATCTCTCACTGCACTTTTGTGTGTAAATAAAATCTCTCACTGCACTTTTGTGTGTATAAAATCTCTCACTGCACTTTTGTGTGTATAAAATCTCTCACTGCACTTTTGTGTGTAGAAAATCTCTCACTGCACTTTTGTGTGTGTATAAAATCTTTAACTGCACTTTTGTGTGTATAAAATCTCTCACTGCACTTTTGTGTGTATAAAATCTCTCACTGCACTTTTGTGTGTGGATAAAATGTCGTACTGCACTTTTGTGTCTGTATAAAATGCCGTACTGCACTTTTGTGTCTGTATAAAATGCTGTACTGCACTTTTGTGTCTGTATAAAATGCCGTACTGCACTTTTGTGTCTGTATAGAATGCCGTACTGCACTTTTGTGTCTGTATAAAATGCCGTACTGCACTTTTGTGTCTGTATAAAATGCCGTACTGCCCTTTTGTGTCTGTATAAAATGCCGAACTGCACTTTTGTGTCTGTATAAAATGCCATACTGCACTTTTGTGTCTGTATAAAATGCCGTACTGCAATAAAATCTCTCACTGCACTTTTGTGTCTGTATAAAATGCCGTACTGCACTTTTGTGTCTGTATAAAATGCCGTACTGCACTTTTGTGTCTGTATAAAATGACTCACTGCAATGAAATCTCTCACTGCTCTTTTTATATATGTATAAATCTCACACCACTTTGTATCTGCGTAGCAATTCTCATTATATTGTTGTCTATATAAAATCTATAACCATTTCTGAGTCTGAATAAAATATACATTTGCTCATCTATTTCTTTACAAGAGCTACAGGCAAATTAAGGTATAACAGCTATTTCTCAACCCTGTCAGATGCTCAACACTGATTTTTAAAACATAATGAAACATGCTTTAAAATAATCAGATGTGGAACATAGATTTTAAACTCAATAAAACTTGGAACATCACTAAAAAAAAATTAAAAAAACACACACACACACGTTCACATACTGCACACACAGTGTTCACACAATCAGATACAGAGCACAATTTTTTAAATGACCATATATGATAAAGAAGATTTCCCCACAGCTAGATGTGTAAGACAATATTCTCTTGAACTACATGTGGAATACAAGATTTCACAGTTGCACATGCTGATCGCAGCCAGATGTGGAATATAAGCTTTCACACTACCAGATCTTGATCACAACTACTGAGACAACCAGATACAGATCACAACTACTGAGACAACCAGATACAGATCACAACTACTGAGACAACCAGATACAGATCACAACTACTGAGACAACCAGATACAGATCACAACTACTGAGACAACCAGATACAGATCACAACTTCTGAGTTCCTTGTGTGGGTTCTGAGATCTATGTTTGGGGGTTGGGGGGAACAGACCCACTGCCTGGCCCAACAAGCATGTAAAAGGCAACTAATAAGAGATGTTTCCTTTAAAGTCAGAGTGTATCTGCCTGAGAGGCCAGGAACCAATAGCCTGCATACAAATAAGCCAGATCTGTCAAAAGGATGTGCACGCAAAACTCAAATTCTGGAACAAGACCAAAGTTTCAAAGTGGATGAACAACCAGAACCTTCTGCAGGAGCTGTCAGCCAGTGAACAAGAAAAAAGAATAAGAAGAAGATAAGTTGATTTATATCACAATCACTCACTTGAGCAATACATGATATTAGACTGAGACAATAGTACACAGAACATAAGTACAACAGTTTTCAGCCAAATAAACAGCTTTCTAATTCTGAGACAAACCTCTGGTGTTGGAGGTTCCTTTCTTAATCCTCGGAGCCAAGCTATTCAAACAGGACAGAAAAAATGGCTGAATTTCAAAATGATTAACATGAAACAAAAGATCATACGAAGACATTTAAATATTTAAAAATAAATCAATAAAGAACAAAGTGAAGAAGAATATGAAAGAAAAATCTGAATGCCTACAAATATAAAATATGAATGGTTGTGACCTACTTAACTGAAAAGTTATGGAAACAGCACAAAGTATCACTTCTTAATTCAACTATCGATGTAGCTGACATCTTGTGCAATGCACCCCACCCAGATAAGACGACAGGTTACTGTATGACTGCCAGAAGCCTATAACTGTGTGTTTTACTGCTGAATGAGGGTTCCCTTAAATTTTTTCTGATGGACTGTTGTTCTAATGGTGACTCTTTGAGTCTTTGGGAGAATCTCTCAGAAAACAGACTTTGGAGGAGAAATTAAAATCACAACAACAACAAAAAAAATAAATAAAGATTATGGTAGATATTCTGGACTTATGCATATACGAAAAAATACTTTTATTCATTGGCATTATTTATTTTTTATCTTTCTTAAATTGATATATTTTAAAGCTGTATGTGCAAGTTTTGAACCAATTATGATTCACTGTCATAGGGTTGTGGTATTTATCTTCTTCTTTTTTTAACATTCACCGGCTGTGAACTTTGGCAGAAAGTTCTAGTTGTACGTCCACATCTAAACTTCTGTGTTGTTTCAGAACTTGAGTTTTGCCTGCACATCCATTTTTCAGATCTGGCCTAGTTGTATGCAGACTGTTGGTTCCTTGCTTCTCAGGCAGGTGCACTCTGACTTCAATGTAAACACTGGTAATTAATCGGCTTTTACGACATGCTTGTTAAAGGCACAGTGAGTATATTCCTGTTTCCACCACAAATGAGCTGCGGAACCCACACCGTCAGGTGGTATCTATTATTTTCTATACCTCTATGAGCTGAACTGAAGCTGTCGTTCAGCAATTACTCATCCTTACTCAAATATGCAAGAGATTTTCGGGGCTCAGGTGTTGGAATCTTTCTGATGATAGTATTACAAGGTGCAATAGGGAGGCAGGGAAATCAGTGTGACATTAGGAATGTCAGAGAAGATTCCACATGCCAGAGAAATTTCACATTAGGAATGTCAGAGAAGTTTCACAGTAAGAATGTCAGAGAAGTCCCACATTAGATGTGAAGTGAGACAGGGGTGTGTTCTATTATCGCTACTATTCATCACATACATCGACAAAATTTGCAAATCAGCTAACACCAAAGTCTGACATTAGGATTAAGAGAGAAGTTCCACATTAGACGTTAAGTGAGACAAGGGTGTGTTTTATCACCTCTACTATTCATCACATACCTTAACCAAATTTGCAAATCAGCTAACACCAAAGTCTGACATTAGGAATGTCAGAGAGGTTCCATATTAGATCTGAAGTGAGACAGGGAAGTGTTTTATCACCACTACTTACTGTTCGTTACATACGTCGACCAAATTTGCAAATCAGCTAACACCCACAAAGGGGACAAGACTGGAAGATTACTAAATTAACTGCTTTTTGCTGATGATCAGGCAAACATAGCACCAGCAGCAGTACAACTAAAAGAATTAATAGACTTCACTCAATGAACACCCATAATACAAAGATAAACGTAGACAAAATTCTTTAGAAAAGGAAGAACCACTATCATCAATCAGAAGACGGAAGAATTATTTATGAAATACAACAAAGACAATCAAGTTATAAAACAACTGGCACCTAATACTGAAATGCAAGCATATGAAAATTAAAACCTAAAGAATCCTGTCGAACACATATTCTGTCCAATGATTTGCTATCAGTGTCAAACATGGATACTGTCTTTAGAAGAAAGAATAAAAATAGTGATAACAGAAATGAAATGTTTATGTATTTTGTTATGTGTATCCAGGAAACATTGACTTAGCAGATGACGATATCGGTAGGAGAGTCGGCACAAGACCAATACTGAATTTTATTGGTAGACAACAGATCAACTGCTTTGGACATGTAACAAGACTGCAATAGACAGGGTACTGCAGTGAGCAATGTTTTACAGTGGTGACAGATATGGTGTTAACAGCGATGGTGGTAACAGACCCAGAGGTCGACCACACAGACTTAAAAGTGATATAGACAAAGCAATCAGAAGGACTCGTTCCAGAGACCTCATCCTGCCCAGATGTTGTGAGGCATTCGAGATGCAGAGAAACAAAATATTCAATCACAATCTATGGTGATGGTGAGTGTGACCAGCAAGACCAACTCACTTTAAGAATGGTATTCTACATTAGACTTCAGGACGCCTGTGCCATCACAAGGATTAAACACATTTCTTCTCAGACACTCAATTCTTAACCTGTCTGCAATCTTTTGGTGCCCACTCCTTTCCTAATTTGCTTTGCCCTGGCAATCAACCCACAGCATCCTGTTCTTACAAATCCACCTAAATACCTAAAGCATTCATGTTCTATTTGCACACATTTCAAAGTTATAGAAGAAGATGACCCCAAAGATCTTCAATCCATATCTTCAATCCATATCTTCTATCCATATGTAATTCACCACAGAGCAGTAGTTCTCAACCTGCTAGTCGTGACCCCTTTGGGAGTGGAACGACCCTTTTAAAGGGGTCCCCTAAGAACACTGAAGTTATGAAGCAGCAGCAAATTAATTTTACGGCTGGGGGTCACCACAACATGAGGAACTGAATTAAAGGGTTGCAGCATTAGGAACGTTGAGAACCAATGCCACAGAGGATATCCTTAGGGACTCTACCATTCGCCCTCCCCAGCACGTGTCCTAACCATTTGAGCTTTCAAAGAATGAACATTAAACAAAACCGGACTCAGATGATCTGTTCACTAAGTGAAGCCTGGATTTTAAACTTGCAGTTAACAACTAACTAGCCAACCAACCACTCATGTACACAGTGAAAACACTGATACTTTCTTCCACTCTTTAAGTCCCAGGGGGTTTAGCATCAGAGGCCCAAGGCGTGGTCAAAAGATACTGGGCTTCTGGTAGGAACCTATGAAAGTATGATGCATTCCTTGGGACTCAAAGAGTTAAATGGTCTGATTGTCTTGTAGCCGCACCAAATAATATTGAATACAAAAACAGAATGACTGAATATACAACTCAGACAATTTTGGCAGCAAATATGTAGCCATATTTTGTGTGTGTGTGTGTGTGTATACTTTAACCAAATGTAGAAAGATGTAACAACAGACCATATGTTTATGATACAAACACATAATATCATCAAGCATGATACGCTGCGTCGGACCAACCAATTTTAAAAGCCAGGAGACTATATTTCATCACTAAAATTCAAAAAATATAATTATTTTATTTCAGGTCATTAAAATCACCTCAGACAAGAAATACCCACCATTCCACTCCACGGGAACCTCAGGGAGATAATGAGTTTCAACATTCTTGGGCTCTTCAATGTACCTTGATGCTCGCATGCCATGACCTTTATCTACAGAAACAGTGACAATGTTGATGGAAAAATAGTTCACTGGTAGCTAAATAATATTTTCTACATATTTAATGTTTTAGGTTAAAGGAACTAATGTTTTTGTAGACGGACAGGCCCTCATTGAGAAATATGATAAAGTCAACCATCTTCACTTCGTAAAACATTTCCCGGCAACTATTTTAGGCCACCAGGATTTGGGAGATAGTAATGCGTCAAAGTGCCCCACTGTGGTAGATTTTTTGTTCTTCTATAAAGCTTAGCATGATTTGGCTGAGGGTCTGTGATAGGTAGAGCTTCTTTGTCATTACAAATGCCATTAGAGTAAAAATAATCCTTGAGACCATTTTTATGCAAACCAAACTGCCCAAAAAAAGATATAAAAATGGGCACTGAAATAATAATTCGTAAACCAGGTCCATTCAAATAGTTTACTCAAGAGCCAAAATGTTGTAAATTTCAGAAATTTTTGGGTCAGAGACAATTGCCAGGTGATTCACCGGCCACAAGCTAAGCCTATGCAGGAAAGATTTGGTCCACAGGGCTGCTAGATGAACAGCCCTGCTAAACACGAACAGAATAGCAGGGTACACTAGGCCAGGGTAGTACTTGGTGGAGACATTACGGGTGACCCAATTATAATTTCTTTGAAGGCTAACTGGGGTATCTAAGTTTTACCCTGGTGGTTTGCCATCAAGGATTAGATTCTTGCAGTCTTGGAAAGGGAAGAGGACCTTCGAGTAGCAGCCATGAGGGGAAAAAACCAGACACAAATACTGAACTGGGAAACTAATAGTTTGAGGAAGCAAGGAAGTCCAAGAAAAACCCTAGTATGATGAATGTTGGTTAGAAAGTTCTGTCGGACCTGTATCAGGATGCAATGGTGATGCAACTGCCTCTTTCTGTTGGGGGATTAGAGCTTCAGGGAAAATGGTCAATAAGTCATTATCTAGACTTCAATAACCACATCAGTCATACACTGACCACGACTTTTTAAATTTTAATCTCGAAAAAAAAACACAAAAAAAAACAGGATGTTGTCATTTTGTATGTGTGTGTGAAAACTAACATTGGCTCACACACAGGTCGACCCAAGACTTAAATGGGCTATCCTCCGAATAACGGCCCCAAATTATCGAGGCCGAAAATATACCCTAACAGGGCCTCAGTCACATGTTAATTGTGGACTTCCGGCGACTACTGCCACCGCAGAGAGTATCTCCCACCCGCTACATGCGGAGTGGAGTGGGGCTAAACTAGATGGCTGAGACTCACGAGCAAATAAAATGAAGGAAGCTGCAGGAGATGCGGTAGCTGCTGCTCCTGAGTCCCAGCCATCTAGTTTAGCCCCGCTCCAAGTGGTGTGGGAGATACCCTCTGCAGTGGCGGCAGTCGCCAGAAGTCCGCAATTCATATGTGACTGAGGACTGATATATCTTCGGCCTTGATAATCTGGGACCGTTATTCGGAGGATAGCCCTTAAATGAGTACGAGGTAAGGTCCTGAACGTAAAGGTGACCAACCTAATGGTGACTAGATCCCCTGCAGAGTGATGACTGGTCTATAAAATACATAGGTCTAGCACTACATACTCAATAGGCCTAAGGACATGGAAAAATTGTCTATTTTTACTTACTGCTTTAAATTCTGAATAGAAAGAAAAGTTACTGAAACTCTAATGAATGAATACTGGGCTCTCCTTTCAATACCGGATGAGGGCTGGACGGCTTTGTTCAGTTTAGTGGGAGTTCTCTCCCTTGGCCGCACTGGAAACAGTGAGCGGAAAAGTGACGAATCAAAGAAGACAGTGAGGTCAACATCAGGGCTGCCAATGCTTGGTTGTGTCCCCCAGATCTGGGGTTTTTTTTTTAACGCTACGGGGAAATCTGGGTTTTGTGTTATTTTTGGTTTTTGCCGATGTGTATGCTTTAATGACTGATAAATTTGCGTGGTTAGGGGTAGGGTTAGGGGTAGGATTAGGGTTAGGGGTAACGTTAGGGTTAGGGATAGGGTTAGGGGTAGGGTTAGGGTTAGGTTTAGCGTTAGATGTGACAATTGTGACGCAGGAGTTCCCTATAATCGCGCACAGTCACATACACACCCAAACAGTCGACGGACTGTGGGTGCTACGGACAATTCGCCACCGATTGGGCACCAGCCGCGCGCTATTGCCGTCATATTTGGCAGAATTTCATTGGCCCCACTCCCACAAACATCAGATTGTCGGCCAGTATTTGGAACTCCTACGTCAAAATTTTCACATCTAACCCTAACCCTAACCCTACCGCTAACCCTACACGCAACCGTATAATGACTACGCAACCCTACATGCAAGCGTACGCAACCCTACACGCAACCGTATGATGATAGGTAAGTATGTCATTTGTTTCGTGACTTTTCCGCTCATTGTTTCCAGTGTGGCCAAGGGAGAGAACTCCCACTAAACTGAACTAAGCCGTCCAGCCCTCGTCCGGTATTGAAAGGAGAGCCGAATACGGCTCTCCTTGCAGATCCGGACGAGGGTTGGACGCGGGCTGGACGACTTAGTTCAGTTTAGTGGGAGTTCTCTCCCTTGGCCGCACTCGAAACAAGTAGCGGAAAAAGTCACGAATCAAACAAGACAGTGAGGTTGACATCAGGGCTGCCAATGCTTGGGTGTGTCCCCCAGATCTGGGTTTTTTTTTTGACACTGCGGGGATATCTGGGGTTTTTTTGCTTTATTTTTTTTGTTTTGCCAATCTGTATGCTTTAATGATCGATACATTTGCGTGGTTAAGGGTCGGGGTAGGATTAGGGTTAGGGTTAGGATTAGGGGTAGCGTTAGGGTTGCCGTAAGGGTTAGGGTTAGGTTTAGCAATGTTTAGTAATGACTACGCAACCCTACACGCAAGTGTACGCAACCCTACACGCAACCGTATGATGATAGGTAAGTATGTCATTTGTTTCGTGACTTTTCCGCTCACTGTTTCCACTGCGGCCAAGGGAAAGAACTCCCACTAAACTGAACTAAGCCGTCCAGCCCTCGTTCGGTATTGAAAGGAGAGCCGAATACTGTAAAAAAGTACTAAACTGTAAATTGTAAACAAATAAAAAAAGAAATCACCTTCTACTCTTTCGAAGTATTTATTTCCATACTGATCAGACCCAACATACGTGTCCTTCTGTTTCATAATAAACAGTGAATTCTTAAAATTCACAACCGCCCGCTTGAATCCGCCAATATAGCGCGCCATGGAGAAAGATGTGTTCACCTTCAAAGCCCCGACACACAAGCGATAAATGATGCTAAACTTGTGCTGTAAGGGCTAACAGACGAGAAGGTTGCCACTAGAGTAGCGTCTCTTTCTCCAATCTCTTGTGAGATGAGTTTAAGAAATTCCTCTAACAACAGGGGCGGTAATCAGTGTAAACATTTGTTTAGACCCCCGTGATCTGTGAGCTGATCGTGCTAATAGTTTGATGTAAGAACCATATAAACCGTGTACTAAACGAATCGATTAGTTTATAAATATATGTTAATTAAGCACATATATCATAGATTTTACACGAAGACAAAAACGAAAATGTCCAGAGGAAACAAAAACATACGTAGATGAGAGAGACTAATGTGCTGGATTGAATTACATCCGTGACACTGCTCACACTATATCTGACAGTTGAGTTAACATTATAAAGTCAATGATATTGAAAGATTGTTGCCACACAGGATAGAAAAGATTAGGTGAATATCTTGCAAACGCTATGTGATGTATAGGGACGGGACAGGACATGATAGTGATGATAATAGTGATGTCAGTAGTTTTTTAGAATTTGTAAATTCAGTGTTTTGTTGTTGTTGTTGTTGTTGAAATATTCAGTTATTATAGTGAGTCTTTGACCTTCTGTTCTAGCATGGTTTGAATTATGTTGGAACGACTCCCAGCCCGTTACTAATTCCTTCTAAAACCACAAATGTGGAACTTGAGGAGAGTTAAACGAATTCCAGAGAATAAAGAAATCAAGAAATCTCACTTAATAGGATACACTTTGTGGAGCTGATCCCATTGTAACTAGAATTTCCATTTACTAAATCCCACAGGACAAAAAAAAAAAATGAAGGGAGACCTAAATGCATGTGGAGTTAAGAGTTTGTGTCAGAGACAAGTGATACTAGGGCCTAATTAGATTGTAAAGGTAGGCTGGATTGGCATAAACAGGTTGAAGGTCTGTTTTCAATGAAAGATTAAGAGCAGATGAAGAGGAGGTTTAATTCTTCTAACATATTAGAATAAAGCTACACACTGCATTAACTTTGAATTCCAGAAGGTCACAGTTGATGCATAAACAAAGCAATAATTATGGCAATAAAATATCAGGTATACTACATCCACAGGGGCTAAATACACAACCTTTGTTGGAGTCTTGTGTGTTGTTGGGCGTTATACTATATCCTGTCAGAACATAAAACGAACAAGCATTATAATATTTTAGCTCACACATGGTGCATCATTTGGTACTTTAACTCTTTCAGTCCCAAAAAACGTGCGATGTGTGATTAGTACTTCAGTGAATCCCACACAAAATGTAATATGTTTTAGTCCTTCTCATAGTTGGTCACAGTATACTAAGAAATCTGGCTTCCCCAGTGTTTAGCATCTTTGAAAGCAATAAACTCGCGGCTTTTTCTGTTGCTTATTTATACATATGCAAATCTCCGGTAAAACCTTCTGGTACTGAAGGAGTTAAAGAGGTAAAGGAACTTCCTGGGAAGAACATATTTACATTGACCACATCTTCCCGTGAGTGTTGATGTGTTTATAAAAATATGGTTTTAGCACTGTATTCTACATGCAGTAATGATGTGACAAAGTAATATCATAAAATCAGACTGAAAATGGGTTCACATTCTAATCATAAAATTGGATGGCCACATTGAAGTTAACATCAAAACATCAGATGTAACTTCCATTGTAGTTAATATCATAAAACCATTACTAATTTGCTTACATAATGTATTATGTAATATTAATTTTTTTTTTTTTTTAAACAATATTTTATTACTCTTGCAATTGTGTAGTCTTTCATCTTGTAATATATACTCAGTGTGATCTAAATGCATTTACTTTGCCAGATGTAAGCCTGAATTTTTGTAACAACTAATGATGATGTAGCATTTATCATTTAATGGACTGGGAAAATAAGCTCTATTCTATTGTGAAAGAAACACAAACCAACTTGGCCAAAGCAAAGGTATGTCACACAGATGTAACAATTACCATATTACAACATTACAGAGTTGCTAAATCAGTCTAGATCGGGAATGGGCAACCTTTTTTGGACCACAGGTCAAATTTATAATAACCAGCATGGTCGCAGGTCTTATACGAAGAATCTATTGTAAACTAACACCCATATTTTATCATAACACTATATTTTTGTGGGATATTCCAAGATTGAGAAACAAAGAATGAAATGATTTGGCAATCTAATAAAAATGATTGTTTGAATGTGATACATTCTTGCATTGCCGACTATTGCAGATACTAAAGGTGCTGCAGGCTAAGTCATACCTCAGAGTAGCTGCAAACAAAGAACACCCTCTGTATGAAGCTTTGGCTGCAAGTAAGGGTCAGAGGCTGTAAAATGGGGAAAATCGTTGATGGCTCAAGCAGAAGACACAATAAGACAAGAATGCAGGCTGAAGAACATTGAGCGAGGAGAGGAGTGGGTCAAAGCGAAAGAGAAAAAGTCTGACCTGTGTAGGGTTAGGAACACATTGGGCCGGGAGTGCACAGAGTGGCCAACAGGTGCTACGGAGGTGGAAGTCCAACAGCTGACTAATAAAAATTCATGCCCAGGTGATCTGATTATCTATACAGATGGTTCAGTGTTGAGAGGTAAGAGAAGAGCTAGAGTTTCGTAGCGAAAGCCAATGGAAAATCTTTAGCACAAAACAGCTTAGCTTACAACACCACAACTTCTAGCATGAAAATGGAGGTGGAGGTGGTAACTGCAGCTCTCTGGTGGCTAGAGAACAAGATACATACATATGTTGTAATTGTAACAGACTCTGAAAGCATGCTGACAAAGGTGAAGACAGGGGTGCTTCGAGCAGAGTGGCAAGCTTTACTGGGAATGTCACAGGTAGTAAGCATACTTTGGATCTTTGTCCAGGCAATGATGGAGTGGGGGTTAATCAACAGGCAGATAGACTGGCTGGATTCGCACCACTGGGTGTAAGCAGAGGGTCTGACCGGCTCACTACACTCAGGTAAGACGGACATATAACCAGATTGTGACTGGTACCATCAGTATTGGAACTCTGAGCTGGCTGCTGAAGATGAGGACAGGGCATCAAGGGAATGCCCCGACTGATGTGATGTCAATTCTTACTCAAGTCAACTCAATGAAAATGAAACCAATGATACCAGCAGCAAGAGCGTACAACCTAAAAATCAAAACATCAAGAGGCAGAGAAGGCCGTGAAGTTCATGGATTGAAGAAGTCACTGACAACTTGAGACTATATAAGATCACAACATATCAAGCGACTGATCGCACCCTGGCTCGGCTGCTGATCATCTGATGAACTGCAATGCTTAGCGGCATAAGCAGGTGTTGACAAAAGAAAGAAGAATAAGATTCCGAGATTATAATCCCTTGCTACACCTCTGGCCAGACACACTCACCCACTGAAGCTCTTATGTATGCTGCTAAATGTGTCTGTTCAAATTAGTTATTTGCAGAAATCATGTTCTGCTATTTTATGATCTCAAGGGGCAGTAACAATTTCTCGGGGGGTCCATTTTGGCCTGCAGGGCATAGTTTGCCTACCCTTGGTGTAGATGGTTTCATATGAAAATTTTTTGTTTCTCTCTCTCTCTCTCTCTCTCTCTCTCTCTCTCTCTCTCTCTCTCTCTCTCTCTCTCTCTCTCTCTCTCTCTCTCTCTCTCTCTCTCTCTCTCTCTTGTACTGTTGCTGTTCAGTAAATCAGATGTCATTCCTCAAGGAAGATTGGCTGTCATAAATCCTCAGCACTTTCCTTCTCTCACGTCATGTTGTGCACTCTGGCAGACTACTGATCATCCTCTGTCTTCTTCTTCTTCTTCACATTCTGGTAGGCAGCTCTGATTGTTCATCCACTTCTGGACTTTCGTCTTGTTCCAGAACTCGAGTTTTGCTTGCACATCCATTTTAGAGATCTGGCTTATTCATTACGCAGGCTGTTGATTCCTCACCTTTCAGGCAGATGCACTCTAGGGAGACAGTGGATCTATTCCTCTTTGCCCCCAAAATGGCGTTCCCTCAAAACCCACACAGGGAATTGATAATCCATCTCTTGATGTTATCTTTCCATGTGTATCACTGTCAGCCTTTAGCTCAGCTGCCTTAAACTGTTATCTCCATTTTTATCTGAAGCTTTTGAGAGTTTAGTTTCCTTTTCATTCTCTCTTTCTTTTCTCCCTCACAGCTTCTCCTCTTCTTTTCTTTCTTCTTTTCTTCCTTCTGTTCTTTCTTTCTTTCTTTCTTTCTTTCTTTCTTTCTTTCTTTCTTTCTTTCTTTCTTTCTTTCTTTCTTTCTTTCTTTCTTTCTTTCTTTCTTTCTTTCTTTCTTTCTTTCTTTCTTTCTTTCTTTCTTTCTTTCTTTCTTTCTTTCTTTCTTTCTTTCTTTCTTTCTTCTTTCTTTCTTTCTTTCTTTCTTTCTTTCTTTCTTTTTCTTTCTTTCTTTCTTTCTTTCTTTCTTTCTTTCTTTCTTTCTTTCTTTCTTTCTTTCTTTCTTTCTTTCTTTCTTTCTTTCTTTCTTTCTTTCTTTCTTTCTTTCTTTCTTTCTTTCTTTCTTGATGTTGATTTGCTCTTATTGTTTCATATTTTGATATTATAAATTCCTTATGTTAATAAATGAGAGTCAAGAAATTTGGAACAATAATTTTTCATGGGGATTCAAATCTAGAACCTCAAAATTGGCTGCCACGGCTCCCAAATATTTAGAGGGATACTCAGGACACTTTGTTACCAGGACACTTTGTTACCAGGACACTTTGTTGCCAGGACACTTTGTTACCAGGACACTTTGTTGCCAGGACACTTTGTTGCCAGGACACTTTGTTGCCAGGACACTTTGTTGCCAGGACACTTTGTTACCAGGACACTTTGTTGCCAGGACACTTTGTTGCCAGGACACTTTGTTGCCAGGACACTTTGTTACCAGGACACTTTGTTGCCAGGACACTTTGTTACCAGGACACTTTGTTGCCAGGACACTTTGTTACCAGGACACTTTGTTGCCAGGACACTTTGTTGCCAGGACACTTTGTTGCCAGGACACTTTGTTACCAGGATACTTTGTTGCCAGGACACTTTGTTGCCAGGACACTTTGTTACCAGGATACTTTGTTGCCAGGATACTTTGTTGCCAGGACACTTTGTTACCAGGACACTTTGTTACCAGGATACTTTGTTGCCAGGATACTTTGTTACCAGGACACTTTGTTACCAGGACACTTTGTTGCCAGGACACTTTGTTGCCAGGACACTTTGTTACCAGGACACTTTGTTGCCAGGACACTTTGTTGCCAGGACACTTTGTTGCCAGGACACTTTGTTGCCAGGATACTTTGTTGCCAGGACACTTTGTTGCCAGGACACTTTGTTGCCAGGACACTTTGTTACCAGGATACTTTGTTGCCAGGACACTTTGTTGCCAGGACACTTTGTTACCAGGATACTTTGTTGCCAGGACACTTTGTTGCCAGGACACTTTGTTGCCAGGACACTTTGTTACCAGCATACTTTGTTGCCAGGACACTTTGTTACCAGGACACTTTGTTGCCAGGACACTTTGTTGCCAGGACACTTTGTTACCAGGACACTTTGTTACCAGGACACTTTGTTGCCAGGATACTTTGTTGCCAGGATACTTTGTTGCCAGGACACTTTGTTACCAGGACACTTTGTTACCAGGATACTTTGTTGCCAGGATACTTTGTTACCAGGACACTTTGTTACCAGGACACTTTGTTGCCAGGACACTTTGTTGCCAGGACACTTTGTTGCCAGGACACTTTGTTACCAGGATACTTTGTTACCAGGACACTTTGTTGCCAGGACACTTTGTTGCCAGGACACTTTGTTGCCAGGACACTTTGTTGCCAGGACACTTTGTTGCCAGGACACTTTGTTACCAGGACACTTTGTTATCAGGATACTTTGTTGCCAGGACACTTTGTTATCAGGATACTTTGTTACCAGGATACTTTGTTGCCAGGACACTTTGTTGCCAGGACACTTTGTTGCCAGGAAACTTTGTTGCCAGGACACTTTGTTACCAGGACACTTTGTTGCCAGGACACTTTGTTGCCAGGACACTTTGTTGCCAGGACACTTTGTTGCCAGGACACTTTGTTACCAGGACACTTTGTTACCAGGACACTTTGTTGCCAGGACACTTTGTTACCAGGATACTTTGTTGCCAGGATACTTTGTTGCCAGGACACTTTGTTACCAGGACACTTTGTTACCAGGATACTTTGTTGCCAGGATACTTTGTTACCAGGACACTTTGTTACCAGGACACTTTGTTGCCAGGACACTTTGTTGCCAGGACACTTTGTTGCCAGGACACTTTGTTGCCAGGATACTTTGTTGCCAGGACACTTTGTTGCCAGGACACTTTGTTTGCCAGGACACTTTGTTACCAGGATACTTTGTTGCCAGGACACTTTGTTGCCAGGACACTTTGTTACCAGGATACTTTGTTGCCAGGACACTTTGTTGCCAGGACACTTTGTTGCCAGGACACTTTGTTACCAGGATACTTTGTTGCCAGGACACTTTGTTACCAGGACACTTTGTTGCCAGGACACTTTGTTGCCAGGACACTTTGTTACCAGGACACTTTGTTATCAGGATACTTTGTTGCCAGGACACTTTGTTGCCAGGACACTTTGTTACATGGACACTTTGTTACATGGACACTTTGTTACCAGGACACTTTGTTACCACTACACTTTGTTGCCAGGACACTTTGTTGCCAGGACACTTTGTTACCAGGATACTTTGTTGCCAGGACACTTTGTTGCCAGGACACTTTGTTACCAGGACACTTTGTTACCAGGATACTTTGTTGCCAGGACACTTTGTTGCCAGGACACTTTGTTGCCAGGACACTTTGTTACCAGGATACTTTGTTGCCAGGACACTTTGTTGCCAGGATACTTTGTTACCAGGACACTTTGTTGCCAGGACACTTTGTTATCAGGACACTTTGTTGCCAGGACACTTTGTTGCCAGGACACTTTGTTACATGGACACTTTGTTACATGGACACTTTGTTACCAGGTCACTTTGTTGGGAGCTGTGGTACCTTTATTCTAGAACTAAACACCCTTCTTATACTAGTACATACTTGTATGCACCTTTATGCAGATTCTTCAATTTTTTAAATGTTAAAGTCTTTTCTGTTCACAAATTGCAGGACAAACTGAGCGGCAAATCTGTACCAGCAATTGATTATTGGACTTTAAACTCTAGTGGCCAATCAGGAAAGCATATTCAGCACCATCTTAATTCACTTCCTGAGTCAGAGGTCTCAAATCTGGACATGAATACTGACTATAGTATGCAGATGTTTCATCTTCAAGAACAGATTCACTCTCAGAACAGGGTTTGTTTGCAGTTTTATTTGTTTTGGTGAATGTTTGAAAAGTTTTTGTTTTCTGCATTGAATTAAATCCTAACCTCAGACAAAGGATGGGTTAATGTAACATCATGATATTGTTTTTTGTTGTTCATCCATCACGGGTGATGATAACCAGTCCTTTTCATTCATTCATGACCGGATTAGGTTTTGTGAGTGGGCAAATAGCTGATAAGGCCAATTCTAACACTGAAAGTTCTTGAGGCCTCATCTCTCTGGTGATTTGCTTTAGTGCCTTTCCTGGCTTGTCTCACCTGAACTGCTGCTGCAGTTCTAGCAGCTTCATGGGCCACAGCGTATCATAATATCAGATGGACTATGAGCTAAAGTTGCTATGGTATATGGCTGCTGGGATGTAGCAGTGAGACGCTCGCTTGCAGAACAGAAAGTTGTAGGTTCAGATCCTGACAGAACCAGACTTTTTTCAAAAAAGACATTGGCTTCCTGGTCGACCCAGCCTTAAAAGAGTACCGGGTAGAGTCCTGGGAAGTAAAGGTGGCTCGCATGATGTTGAACACATCAAACACCAAGTGCAGAATGATCTATAAAATATAGGTCTAGCCCTATCTGCCAATTATGGCAGAAGGTTCAAAAAAGGTCCTTTATATTATGTTATTGTCAGATAAAAATTGGTTAAAATTATTACATCAGATAGAAAAAGGATTAAAGTCTATTGTAACATTGTAGGGATGCAGTGAAGTTAATAGTAAAACATCAGATGGAACATGCACTGCAGTTAATATAATATAATCAGAATATAATAACATCAAATGGAAGATGGTTATAACATCAGATGAAAAATGGGTGAAAATATCATAATATCAGGTGGATAAATTGAAGTCAATATGAAAACACCCAGTGAAAGATGGGTGAAATTTAATATGAAAACATCAGGTGGAAGATGGGTTGAAATTAACAACATGGCATCAGATAGAACTAGCAAAATAGAGAAAAAGAGCAAGGATAGACCCAGCAAGAGTTACATATTAGAAAATGAAGTTCCTTGAGTGGAGTCAAGGGAAAAATTTTGTTTTGACAGATGGGAAAGGGGGAGGGGGGTGGGGAAGTAATAGACCCACTACCCCCCTAACATGCATGTTATAAAAGTTGACTAATTAGGGTGTTTTTTTCAAAGTCGGAGTACATTGCCCTGAGAGACAAGGAACCAACAGTCTGCATACAAATAAACTGGATCTGTAAAATGGATGTGCATGCAAAACTTAAGTTATGAAACAAGGCTAAATTCCATAAGTGGACAAACAACCAGAACTCTCCGCTGGAGTCTACAGTTGGTGAATGCAAAGAAGGAGAAGATGAAAGTATCTTATGTATTCGTTTTTGAAATATTATGTCGCACCTCGTCTGTTGTAGGGCAGTGAATCTTGAAATGTGATCAAATAATTTAGTAAGTGTTTGGTAGCAGTGGAAATGTGATTTCTGAAATAAATTTTGTGAATACTCTAGGCTGCTAGATTAATTGTTACTGACTGCCTTGAAGAGGCTAATGAAAGTAGAACATTATATATAACTATAAAAAAGAGATAATGTTATTTTGAGCGAAAATAACAAATCACCGATGATAAAGGTCACCATATCATCACACATGATATTTGTAACTATGAACCTTTTTCAGAAAAACTGACCGAAAATGCCCGGACATTGTACAGATGTGTAAAAGATCTACTGGCTTTTCCAAAACCATACTACAGGGCTCAGTAAAGGTGAAGAGGAGAAGAGACAGACCAAGAAATACCTGGATACAGAATTTGGTTGAATCAATAGGCCTGAAACATCCAAATATCAAATATATCAACTGACCGACACGGGTGAAGAGAAGTGATCAAAACAGTCAACAGCAGCCAGTGAACTAACGAACACACAGTGTTATAGGACTATTATGAAGATGATGATGAGAAGAAAAACCATGATGACATGAAAGATCACCCATAGATGTAGCATAGACTAAGAAAAATGATGTTAGAGGGTCTAAAAAGGTAGTTTAGAAGGAACTTCATCAGGAGAATGGATTCAGAACACTAAGGACTGCGATCAGTGGAGAACCTGAATGCCTTAGCCATTTGAAAAGGCACATGATGTTGATTTTCTGTTGTCATCTCACTGATATCAGACTGCAGCCTCATGTTGTGTGTCATGATGTTGTTGAATACTGTTATTTTGTTTCTTTCGTTTTTTCTCTCTCTCAGGTACCCTTGCAACTATCTTTTTCCATGATTCACAAACGGTGTCTGGTATTAGTTTGTTAACAATCTACTTTTTAATTATTACTTTTAATAACCTGTAGATTAGTTTCCACAGGTTAATTCCTGTTCTTCTGCTTAAATATGACATGGTGAAAAATTCATAGGAAGATATTTTCCCAATGATTTCAGAGAATTGAGAAACTGGAGAAGCTGGTCATATCTTTAAACAATGAAAGGGATTACTACAAGGAACAAATATCACAGTTAAGAGGTATGGACTATCAGTGTGAAAATCATCACAGTCATGGGCTGTGCTTTGTTGTGCAAATGATTACACTCATCCACATTTGTCTGTTTTGCATGCTTGTGGCACATTTGACCTACAACTGACTACATAAAGTATTTAAGTCAAGAACCTTATTTTTTTATTATAGCTGGACCATTTGGCACTCTGAAGGTGATGTGGTCAACACCATGTCAGCCACCTTTACTTCCCAGGCCATTACCTGGTAACCATTTTAGGCTGGGTCAACCTGGTAACATAAAACACCCCCCCCCCCTTTCCCCAACCCGCCCACTCAAACTGGACTACAGATTATTTTGTAACCGTTTTATGGTGCCCTATACAGCATTTCAAGTATGGTTAATCACCAGCAAGGAAATCAAAATTGAAAAGTTTGAGAGCATGCATCTTCCCTGTAGCAACATAAGGATGTGAGTGGTAGACTATCTCTCAGTCCTTAAGAGAGAAAATATGTTTTTTAAAGCTGAAATGCTATAGAACGACTCTCAGAATACTATGGACAAAGAAAAGAAGAAATACTGAAATACAAAATCACTTAACTGAAGTATCAGTTTTCTGAAAGAAACACACATGTCTGTCTGGCCAGTTGAAGCTCTGACACAGGTATGAACACCAGAAATTACTAATAGTCAGAAAAAGCTGTGGCAGGCAAGCGCTATAACTGAAACAAAAAATTAGATAAAGCAGTGCTGGACGTTAGGTTCCCTAGGTGAGTTGGAGCCCATTAGATAGATGTTGTTCATCCATCATGAGTGATGAAGACCACTTTCATCCAAAATAGTAATGATCAATGATTATGAGTATGAAGGTGGCTGATTAGTCCAATATGAGCCTGGAAAGTTCTTGAGCAACAGATGGAAGCCACAGTAAGTGTGGGATTAGCAGTACGATTCTGTCTAGTCTGCTTCTGTTTCTCTGACTGTGCAATCTCCGCTGCCTGGCAGGCCGATGCTCCATACCTAAGGGACATATGCCATCCAGAACAGTCTTGTGCAGCAGAATCTCACGTCGCTGTGTTAATACCATTAGATAGATAAGGGGGTGCTGAAAGACATGCACATTCTGTCAGCCGAGTATTTAGACTTGATAGCTCATAACCTCCATGTAGAGGACACCTTCGTGACCCTGGGAATTGAAATGCATCGTCATTGATTCGATGGCACCACAGATGTTGTCTGAACCTGCCAGCTGGTTGTAACCCTGTTTCACAGATGTATTTCATAACATATCTTTTGCAGATGGTGGCGTAAATTACACGGAGCTTGTTCAATAATTTATTTTCTCAAATGTGTGGAAACTGGCATTCAGAAATGCCAGACTGTTCTGACCTGGATTAGAGAAAGAAGAATATAAGACAATTTATAGGGGGTGGAAAAAACACCAGTTGAACCACAATGTATGGGTTCTTGGGCCCTATTGTAGGGGTTGGTGGGGGGGGGGGGGGGGGGGGGTTCCTGGGGCCCCATTGTGAGGAAAACAAGAATAGACCCACTGCCTTCCCGTAAAGCATGTTGTTTGAGTCAGTTAACTGTGTGCTTTTTTTTTTTTTGAAGTATAAGTAGTCTGTATGTATATATATCAGTGTTGTTTTTGTGTGTGTTGGAAATATTTAATTTTGAAAACGTTTGGCAACTTGTTAAAGAAACAAACTATTTTTGTGAATCTTGCTGTATTATTTCCATAGGTGAGGTAGATCATATCACAGATAGAATGAACAGTCAGATTTCATCCATCAGTTCTGAGAGACAAATATTTACAATGAAGAGGGAACTCATGAATGAAATTGAGAAGGTTAAGACCATGTTACATAATTATGATAAGGAAGCTGGCAACCGTAAGAAAACTTCCATATCCTCAACTTGGAATGATGACATCTGGACAATGTGAGTGATATATTTTTTGTTGAAATTTGAATTCATTAGTTTGGGTGGCTTTTGAGATAAAGTGAGAAACATGACTGAATCTACCAAGTTCAATGGTAAAGGCAGACTGCTATTAATTTGTCAGTGAAGACAAGTCTCCTCCTCCCCCCCAGACTATTTTAGGAGGGAAACAGAATAGACCCTCCGCCCCCCTTTTCCCCTCACTATTTTAGAGGGAAACAGAATAGCCTCCACCCATTACTATTTTAGAGGGAAATAGAATACTCACCCCTCAATCAATATTTTAGAGGGAAATAGAATACTCCCCCCCTTTCCCATCACTATTTTAGAGGGAAATAGAACCCCCCCCCCCTATTATTATTTTAGAGGGAAATAGAATACCCCCCCCCCCCCCTAAATCACTATTTTAGAGGGAAATAGATTACTTCCCCCTCTCCCATCACTATTTTAGAGGGAAATAGAATACCTCTCCTCTCTTTCATCACTATTTTAGAGGGAAATAGAATACCTCTCCTCTCTTTCATCACTATTTTAGAGGGAAGTAGAATACCCCCTCCCATCACTATTTTAGAGGGAAATAGAATACTCCCTTCCCCCCAATCACTATTTTAGAGGGAAATAGAATACCCCCTCCCATCACCATTTTAGAGGGAAATAGAATACCTCCCCCCTCCCATCACTATTTTAGAGGGAAATAGAATTACCCCCCCCTCCCCCACCCCCCATTCACCTTTTTAGAGGGAAATAGAATCCCCCCTCCCTCCCCCGTCACTATGTTACAAAAGGCAACCAATTAGAGGCTTGCTGACGACAGATGTGTTGGGCTTAAAGATACCACAGCAAAATATGCCAGCTGCCCTTTTAAGGGTGATTGCAAAAGAAGAAGAATTCTCCTGTTCAGTCCAGTTTATAGAGATGTCTGATAAGGTCAGAGAGTGCTGAGCTGAAACATAGTACATTATTGGGCTCCTGTGTTGACCTAAAGAAATCAGTTTGCTTCATCCTGGCTGTGTTCTGTCATTTAACAGACAAAAAAAGTTAGTCTTGCATGTTTCAGTATATTATCTGGAGCAATACTTAATCCATTGCCAGTTTGTACATCCCTTGCATGTTTCAGTGTATTATCTGGAGCAATACTTAATCCATTGCCAGTTTGTACATCCCTTGCATGTTTCAGTGTATTATCTGGAGCAATACTTAATCCATTGCCAGTTTGTACATCCCTTGCATGTTTCAGTGTATTATCTGGAGCAATACTTAATCCATTGCCAGTTTGTACATCCCTTGCATGTTTCAGTATATTATCTGGAGCAATACTTAATCCATTGCCAGTTTGTACATCCCTTGCATGTTTCAGTATATTATCTGGAGCAATACTTAATCCATTGCCAGTTTGTACATCCCTTGATACCGAGATTGGTATAAGACAAAAGTGAAGAAGAAGATGAAGTCTTGCATAAGACAGAAAGAGTTAAAGAATGATGTAATATACTGGGTAATAAAGAAAAGTTATTATGTTTTATTTTGTGCAGAATGAGTAAAAACAGAAATGTGTACAGAAAATTATTTAGAATGAAATGACTGAAATATGCGACTCTAGCAAGTACCTAGTTGATACATCCGTGACACACAGAAATGAGTTATGTCTGAATGATTCAATTTTATTTTGCTTTCCAGAAAGAGTTCTCTCCTTAAGAAAAAAAAAAATTTGAAATACACCTTAAATAACCGTTCAATGTTTCTTCTTTCCTAGAAAAGAAAACCTGACTGAAAATATTGAACAAGTTCACAGAGAATTGACTGCAGTGAATAAAAGAATAGGTGAGGTTAAAAATTTCCTCTGGTGGTTGGTTTTTGTTTGGCTGTTGTTTTTCTGTGGATCTGGTTTCCAGGGAATCACTCTGATAACACCTGAGAATAATATACCTAGAAAGTTTTTACTCCCATTGTAGGTTCCAGGGCCCCATTGTTGGGGTGAGGGGGAGGGGGGAGAATAAACCCACTGCTTTCTCAACAAGCATGTAGTAGGAGTTGACTAATTGGGGTCATCCTTTGAAGCCAGAGTGCATCTGCCTAAGACTCAAAGAATCAAGAGTCTTCATAAAAATGAGCCAGATGTGTGTAATGAATGTGCACGCAAAACTGGTTCTTGCACGAAGTCTAAAGTCCGGAGGTGGCAACAAATACCAAGAACTTTCCACTGGAATTTACAGCTGGTGAATGCAAAGAAGAAGAAGAATGTCTTTACACTGGAGCCCACAGGGGCATAGAATAAAGGCATACAAAAGAAAAAAAAACATGAAGAAGGGAATTAGAAAGGAAGTTTAAAAGGTAGGGAGGATATGGGGTGAGCTGCTTGTGAAAGCAAAGGATAAGGTGACCTGACATGAGTTAGTTAAGGCCCTATGCTCCATCGGGTGAGAAAGGGCAGAAAAAGAGGAAGATAAAGACTATTATCCTTATCATCTCCTTTCCTGCCATAAACATTGACCTGCTTTTCATCCAAAGTGGTAATGATCAATGATTATGAGTACGAAGGTGGCTGATTAGGCCTGTATGAGCCTGGAAAGTTCTTGAGCAGTGTGGACCACAGATGGAAGCCGCAGTGAGTGTTGGATTAGCAATACAGTTCTTTCTAGTCTGCCTCTGTTTCTCTGTTTATGCAACCCCCTGCTGCCTGGCAGACTGTTGCACCATGCCTGAAAGATGTACACCATCCAGAATGGTCCTGTGCAGCAGCCTCCAAAGTTGCAGAGTTGATGCCAATGGAATGTATAGCAATTTTGAGAATGTCCTTAAAGCGCTTTTTCTGTTCTCCCTGGGACCTCTTTCCTTGCTGGAGCTCGCCATAAAATACTGTCTTTCGGAGGCAATAGTCTGGCATGCAGGCTAGGTGACCAGCCCCAAGCAGATGATAATTCTTCAGTATCATGTGGATAAGAGAACAAGTCGGCACAGAACCAATTCTGGATTACATACAAAGACAGCAAGTGAAATGGTTTGCCCACTTAGAGAGAATGCCTTGTGACACCATACCATACAAAGCATACATGGAAAGAGAAAAAGGACGTAGAGCACGGGGTAGACCAAGAATAAGATGGAAGGATAACATCAGAGAAACTCTACAACAGCACAATGTGCCTATGGTCGAGGCAGCCAGAAGAGCTAGAAACAGAACCTTATATCTCCCTCGACACCCACAGCAGTAAAAGAGGAGTGAAGAAGAAGAAGAAGAAGAAGAAGAAGAAGAAGAAGAAGAAGAAGAAGAAGAAGAAGAAGAAGAAGAAGAAGAAGAAGAAGAAGAAGAAGAAGAAGAAGAAGAAGAAGAAGTATCATGTGGATGCTAGGCATTGACCTCCTAAGCATCTAGTAACTGTCGTGTCATAAAATATTTTATAGGGCAGCCAGAAAGTTTTTTTCCCTTTCTTGTTCATAGGCCTTCATCCGACTCATGTCGAGCCCTCTTATCATTTTGCCGTCTCCTACATCTCCTACCTTGTTCTCCTTTTGTTAATTCATTTTTTGTTGTCAATTTGAACCCAGTGCCAGTGTCTTCTTAGATCTTGAATCACTGGTTATTGTTTATTTAACTCCATGAACTCAACATTGATGATTGTGCTCTCAAGTTTTAATCTTCACTGGCACCTTTTTTACTATCATAAACTTTTCGTCCTTTTTAGGATGACATTTTTTGTTATTTGAAGTCCTACTCTGGCTTTTGTCAGGGGCCGCAATATAGCCTGGCCATAAATATGGCCTAAAGGCTGACCACGGTTTCTGGGACCTCTCCACGGTGATCCTTATCCACATGGTGGCACATTGTGTCATCAGGTGTTTATCGCTTGTGTGATGTCCTGGTGGGGTAGAAAGTCAGTCAGTGAGGCACCTTTTGATTAATGTGTTTTTAGTTGTACTTAAATCAGTCTATCAACAAATGACCAATAGGTAATGAATAACAGCATGTTTAAAATAAACTTACAGAGGGGAAACACTACAAAAAAATTTATATTTTTGTTATGTTCACTTGTTTAGTTGTAGATTTAAATCTTTCCTTTGTGGTGTTGTAAAGTTGTAAATGTTATTAAGCTCTATTTTCTGATTCACTTGCATTTCCTGTGAGGTCTTCTAAATTACCTTCACCTTCTAAAAATAATTCAGAGATATTTTTTTCCCTCTATTCCCAGAGAGGCTTGAATCTCGAATAGCAACAGAGCCTTGTGACAGACCTAGACATTCAACTCTGAGCATGGTAGGGATTTTAACAGTTTTAGAATCAGTCCCACCATGTAGCATTACATGCATATATTGACATTTTGATGTCGACTTTTTTGGTAGAAGTCATGCTATATGTTTAATGTTTAATTAAAAATCAAAATCGCAGCACTCGGAACATTCCCTTAAGTGCTCCATCCCTATCTTAAGCAGCAAGTGCAGAGTTTTAATTCCGATGCTACCAACAACAGTCTCACCTTTTCCATGAGAGATATGCGTCGACCAGATCTCCTGGTCACTCCTGACAGTACCATTCTCCTTACACCATAATGACCCATCTGTGCCTCCGCACTTTTCACTCGCCTCCAAGGGCCGTTACAATACTTAGCATGCCATGCAACAGTCGCCACCAGTTCTTCTTCTCCTCCTTCTTCTTCTTCATTTTTTTGTTCTTCTTCTCCTTATTCTCCTCCTCCTCGTTCTTCTTCTCATTCTCCTTCTTCTCCTCATTCTTCTTCTTATTTTCCTCCACCTCCTTCTTCCTCCTCCTCCTCCACCTGCTTTTCCTTCTTCCACCTGCTCCTCCTCCTTCCCCTTCTTCTTCCTCTTAATTTTTTTGCTTTACAGAAATGACACATTTGTTGCATTTACAGCTAGGTTTCAGCCAACATGTTATGTCTTCATTGGGGACCCTTGAATTAGCTACCTTTAACAACATTCTTGTTTGGGGCTGCAGTTAGCCCCCCCCCCCCCCCCCCCCCAAAGGGCACTGTAGCCCAGGCTGGGACAACTTTGCCTAAATTGGGTTACAGAAAATTTCTTTCTTCCATGAAATTTGCGGTCCATTGGATGCTGACTGATATAAAAATCAAGGGTCTATTACCATAAAACCAGGGTTTTTTCTGGTGGTACACAGCACCAGTGCCTTTTTTAAGCATCGTTTTAAAGCACTTCTGTAAAAGACAGATTGTAGTGAGTAATGTAAAGGACCTTTTTCCACACCTTTAGGCGAATTGGGCATATAGGGCTAGACATATATTTTATATATTTATGGTCAGCATCACATGATTGTAGTCAGTACAGTTACCTTTTTTCTATAAAAAAAAAGCCCAATTTGGCTCACTGTTTAAAATGAGTTTATTACTTCTGTTTAATCTGCCAGCTTTTCAATACTCTTATAATTATAACATTATTATATTCTTCAGTTGGCATATAACTTCAGCATTTGTATGTGCATGTTAATTTTAGAATGCTTCTGGTGCAAGCCAGTACCAAAGACCATCCGCGGTGTACACACCTGGTTTTGTGAAAACTGATGACACAAGCAGTCTGCAGTTGCAGCAGCTCAGGTACTGGTTTAATATAAGTTTGTCTTCCCTCTTCTACTGTGAGGTATTAATGTCACAGGGAGTGTGATATGTTGGTTTTCATGGGTAAAGATTTCAGGTTGGAAGAGTTAAACACAACAGAGTTCAACAACCAGCTCAAGGAGGGAGATGGAGGTGGAGACAGTAGGTCCATACTGGTGATTGTCTTCTTTCATTTTAGTTGTATTCTATGCAGACACCTCTCTCTCTCCCTTTCTCTCACCCCCCCCCCCCCTCTTTCTCTCTCCCCTCTCTATTTGTTTTTAGTGCTCACTAGCTACAAACTTTGGCAGAATGTTCTGGTTGTTTGTCTACTTCTGGACTTTGGTCTTGTTCCAATTTTACATATTTGGCCTCCTCCCTGTCAGCTAGAAAGACTGGAACAGACAGAGAGAGAGAGAGAGAGAGAGTAAGCCCTGGAACTCTCACACGTAAGCTCAGGCACCAATTAGACTCTTTGCAGTTTACTAAAAAAAAAAAAAAAAAAAAAACCCATAAATATTATGTTGAATCTATTCTACTGGAAGGTAGTGAATCTTGGAACAAAAATAAACAAATGAGAAAGATCTTGAAAGCAGTTGAGATGTAGTAGAGGCAGGGTAATAACAATGACTGCCTGGATGAAGCTAAAGACAATAGAAAATTGTACCTAGCTATCAGAAAGAGATCATCAGTGCTCTTTGATCATGTGATGGAACAAGAGGCTTTAGAGAACATTCTGATGATCTATAAACATCAGCACTACAAGAAGCAAGGACAGAACAAGATCAAGGGAGATGATGCTGGTTGATTTAAGATAGTGACATGGAGGCATGGCTTCAATCTGCCAAAAGACTTGAAGTCCTACACCAACTTTTGTGTGTGTGTGTGTGTGTGTGTGTGTGTGTTTTTTTTACAGCTGACCTGGCTTCCTGGTTGACCCCTTTCACTGTGTATTTAATTACCTGTTTGATCCTCAGATGACTTTTGAAACGATGCCTTAAGGTCTCTCTCTTAGCCCCCCCTTCTTTCCTTCCACCCCCAGACTGTACCTGATGGTTTGACGACACTGAGATGATTGAATCTCAGTCAAGCCAACAGGGCAAATCCCCGATACCCCATTCAGCCTCCAAAGAAGTCTGCTTCAGTGCTTTGTGGGTAAGGAGAAGGTCTATGCAAAACCTAAAGGGAAGATGACGAGTGAGTGATGCTCAACCCTTCCCCCACCTCCCCCTCCCCCCAACAGGATTGCACAATGAAAAAATAACCACCCAGTGACACAAAGTGACATCATTCAGATGAGAATCCCCCAGATGCAAGTCTCAAACACCCTGTTCAACCATGAGGTTATTTTAGGGTCCCTGACACATCAGCCGAGTGGGTCTTTAAAATAACACAAAATTTGCATCCTATATTGGGACTTAGTTGTCTAAAATGAAGACTTATATTATAACAACTTATTAAAAAGTTTAAGAGTTTATTTAAGATCTTAAATGCCCAGTAAAACTCTAGACTTCATAAGTGTTCCTGCCAAATGGTGAAAAACATTAAAAGAAAAGTAAAGTTAAAGGTTAAAGTCGAGAGGATCGACTTTATTGCACCAGGTTTTATCCCTTTTTGCTCAGTCCCTTTCCGCAGCATGGCTAGCCACCTGCCAATAGCATCGCACAAAGCACAAACTCTATAGCTCCGGCACTGATCCCAGTTTTTAAAAAAAAGGGAAAGAAATTATATAACCCCATATCTGGGATTCGTGAGGAAGAACCAAATACACATTGAACATTGCTGCATAAATACATGTAGTTTTATTTCATGATTATTTCCCTTTGTACATCACCTGTAAAACCTTCTAGGAATGAAAGAGCGAGTGTTGGTGACAACTCTCTAATTTTTATTACACTAGAGTACAGATTACTTTGTAACTGTTGTGTGGGGTCCCAGTATAACCTTCTGGGAATGAAAGAATGAGTGTTGGTGAGAGCTCTCCCATTTATATTACACTTGAGTACAGATTACTTTGTAACTGTTGTGTGGGGTCCATGTATAACCTTCTGGGAATGAAAGAGCGAGTGTTGGTGAGAGCTCTCCCATTTATCTTACACTAGAGTACAGATTACTTTGTAACTGTGGTAGAAGCGAGTGTTGGTGAGAGCTCTCCCATTTATATTACACTAGAGTAGGATTGGATTGGATTGGATTTTTTACCCCACCAGGACATCACACAAGCGATAAACACCCGATGACACAAAGTGCCACCATGCGGATGAGGATCACCGTGGAGAGGTCCCAGAAACCGCGTTCAGACATTTGGCCATAATGATGACCTGCCTATATTGCGGCCCCTGGCAAAAGCCAGAGTGGGGCTTCAAATAACAAAAAATTACGTCCTAAAAAGGACGTAATGATTGATAAAGGATCATTATTACACTAGAGTACAGATTACTTTGTAACTGTTGTGTGGGGTTCCTGTATAACCTTCTGGGAATGAAAGAGCGAGTGTTGGTGAGAGCTCTCCCATTTATATTACACTAGAGTACAGATTACTTTGTATCTGTTGTGTGGGGTCCCTGTATCACCGTGCTATATGATCCCTGTATAACCGTGCTATATAGTTGAACTGGGTTTCTGGTATTTATACATCTGTGATTCTCACTCTTGTTGAATGTTGAATTAAGAATCAACATCACAGCACTCGGGACACTGTCCCTATCTTTATCTTCAGCAGCAAGCAAAGAGTTCCAATTCCAATGAGCCCAGTAAATGTCTGATTGTATATCCGTCTCGTCTTTCCCTTGAGTCTTGAACGTTGGCCAGATTGATTCTCACTCTCAAGATAATATGCTTACAGACTGCAATCCTTGTGGGGGAAAATATTAATTTTTTGACAACTCTACCTGTTTAGTTAAATGTATTTTTTACTTTGTGGTGTTGTAAATGTCATTAAGGTTTATTTTCCCCACACCTTTCCTCCGAGACCTTCTAAATTATATCTTATATCTACCTTAAAAAGGACCCTTGTAACATCAGTGGTACATTTGGTGCAGGATGGTAGACTCATAGTTTTAAAGACCAATGTGCCCTATGAGCCCATGATGTCTAGTGTGGTCAGCATCACACAGGCCACCTTTACTTCCAGAACATTACCTGATACCCCTTGTGGACAGGATCAAACTAGGAGCCAAACAACAGTTGTGGATTTTTTTTTTTACTCAGTGCAGATTCAAACTCAGTACCTTGAGATTAGGAAATGAACGTCTAACCACTACGCTACTGTGATTGTCTTTATCTACCTTATCTGCCTTATATTTCATTTTTTACATTAACTTCCATGCGTTAATAAGTTCTGACTTTAGTAGATTTTGGTTTCTCTGCTGTTTAAAATTGTTTTATCATTTTTCTGTCTTTTATTTAAAAAGGAAAAAAAAAAAAACCATTTCAGTTATTCACTTTTCCATAATCACTTCATCTATCAATGTTCATAGGATCAGCAAATTATTTGGACTGGGATCATAAATTGTTCCTTAGTTGCTAGATATCTGAGAAATCCTACATTTTACAATTTATCACGTCTATAAGAAATGATGTATCTCTAGATCTTTAAGTTAATTTGACTGATCAGCAGACGGTGATGTATCTACTACTCCTTTAAAAAACCTATGTCAGACAGATATGATCAGCATTTCTTATTAATATAAAAACATTATCAATGTGATTATCTGTTTTGTTGTCTGGTTATCTGCATGTTGCTTTATGTATTTTGTGATGTGGAAAAACACTTCATCGTGTGAGATATTGATTTACTGAATGAACAAAAAATAACTCTCCATTTTCATTACTTCCCTACATTCACATTTTCCTTTGATCTCCTCATAATATTTGATCCTGTCTTGGAATTAGTGTCAGCTTTCTCAGTTTTGATATTGTCAATTCTTTGATTACCTAAAGTACTAGAAATTTCATATCAAATTCCTCTTTGAATGAGTCATCTTTATTGCTTATTGGTGTGTGACACTGTTACAAGTTTATTTTTCTCTTTTTGTGGTTCAGTTTTTGCCTTATTTCAGAAATCACTGCTTTGTACTCGATTACTGCTGTATTTATATCTTTAGATAATATTAGGATCACTTCTTCACTGTGAAAAGCATTTTCTTGTGTTTAGTTTGAGAAGAGAACTCTCAAAGCTTGATCAGATTGTTACTTGCACCATTGATGCTGGAACACTGCGCTGGCTGCTGAAGATGGGAATGGAGTGCTTATGGGAATTCCCAAGTGTGATGTCGGTTCTTGAATCAGCTCAACTTTTAAAGCATGTTAAGAATGTTAGAGACAGGCCTGCTGCATGCAGAGTGGCAAGCATTGCTTCAGAGGTCCTGGGTAGTTTGCATTGTTTGGATGCTTTTTCCAGCTTATGCAGGAGTGTTAGGAAATTAACAGGCAGACAGACTGGTTGGTTTGCACAAATCAGTCATTATGGTCTGGAGAGAGTGGTACAACTGGGAGAGACTGGGGGATCTGGTCAACACTCTACACTGGGAGAAAAAATCAAGATGGATATCTAATCAAATGCTACTGGCACCACCGAAATGGAACTCTTTGCTGGCTGCTGAATATGTGGACTGAGCGCCTATGGGAATGCCCCAAGTGCTGTTATGTCAGTTCTTAGCTCAACACTCAGCAGAACTCTTTTACCTGTATTTAAAATTTATTGTATGTTCTGTCTGGCTTCACATAATTCTAAAATCTCATAGCATTATAGCTAACTATCTGTACTCTGTTTTGTTCCGACTTCATGTATATTTCTAACATGGCAGATACCAATTCTGGAAATTTTTCTAGGTGAAATAAGGTAAGGTGGCAGTACGGATTCTTTACAGCTTATGCCACATTTCTTCTGACAGAGGAGAAGCCTTCTTCCTTTTGTTTTGCTGAGCTGTTTTTCTATTCTTTGATGAATTGTTTAGGATTAGCCCTATTTTTCAGACAGTTTTATAGAGGACAGGGTAGCCAGTTACATGCTGACCTGCCTTAAACCTTTCAATCGCAGGGGTTCTGGTAGCAAATGCTCAAGGGCATGAAGGATCACTATGAGGAGTCCAAATACTTAACTTTTAGACAGGCTAGTTACTTGAACTCTTCGCTTGCTGCTGAAGATGGGAATGGAGCGCTTATAGGAGTGCCCAGAGTGCTATGATGTTGATTCACAATTCAACATTTAGCAGGCTAATTACTCAGCATAAGTAGCCAAGAAGGAAGCCAGATTTCTCTACTGTACTTTTACCATTACTAAAACTTGGGTAAACACATTACACATTGGCTGGTATTAATGTGAAAAGAGTTAATCATATCTTACAACATAAATGCTAGGCCATGATGTTGCTTTTTTTTGCTTCCTTATGGGATAAGGTAGCACATGGGTATTTGCTCGGGTAGTTCAACATGTTTGAGAAGGGCTGCAGAAGTGACTAGAAAAGGTAAAATCAGGAATGAGGTCATAAGAGAAAAAGTCAGCACAGAACCAATTTTACATTACATACAAAGACAGCAATTCAAGTGGTTTGTTTGCCCTCTTAGAGAGAATGCTTCTTGATTCCATGCTATACAAGGCATACACCAAAAGAGGAGAGTGGTGTAGAGCACAAGGTAGATCAAGAATGAGATAAGATAGCATCAAAAGAATTATACAGCAGCATGATGTGTCTATGGCTGTGGCAACAAGAAGCAGAACCTTGTATCTCTCCCTTGACACCCGAAGCAGGAAAAAAGGAAGTGAAGAAGAAGAAGAATAAGTAGTTTATCATTTATTTTAATAAATTCCAATGTTTCTAATCATATTCTTTTGGCTCCACTTAGAGATATGAGATGATTTTCATCCAATGAAAGAAGCACATTTTTTTGCTTCCACAGGCAGACAATAACAGCCCTGACTTCCAAGCTAGAGAGCCTTGAAAATAAAATAGACACGGCCAACTCCCAGCAGCCATCAGTCTTTTCTCAAAATTGGCCAGGTAATATTCAACACATAATTAACAGACTAGTTTTGGTTCCCGTAGACAATAAAACAGCTATAATTATTTATTCTTTATAAAAAAAGAATTCATATCCCTTTAGGTATTTTCATCATAAACCACTTCTGCCATTAAAGTTTGCAAGAAGGACAAATTTGCAAGCCAATGTGCACTGGATGGCACTGGCTGTTGTCATACTGTTAAGGAACTTTTTGTTTGCTGCTGAAGATGGAGATGGAGCACTCATGGGAGTGTCCCGAGTGCTATGATATTGATTCTTAATTCAACATGCAGTCAACATATCGTTAAGGCGTGAAGTGTCTTTAAAGTCGTTGATTCATATTTTTCCTGGCCATCGTCTGGCTGTTGTAGCTGACCTTCTGAGACGTAGTGCCTGTGATGGTATTTGATGTTGCTGCATTCTAACCAGATGGCCAAACCACTTGATCTGCTGTTTCTCAATGAATCTAGTACTAGATGCTCCCACAGTCTTTCTGATAGGTAATTATGGCATATTTTCCTGCATCGGGTAAATTTCAGGGTGGAGTAGGATAGCTTAAATGTCAGTGCCATGGAACCCACAGGGCAAAAGAGATATAGGGAAACCTAAGAGCTCATGGTCCATGGACAAGAAACATCAGGGTCATGAGGTGGTTACAAAATTAGCACGGTTTGGCATGAGCTAGTTGATGGCCTATTAGTTAACTGTTGTTAGTCACATTGTTAGTTAACTCTGTTTTCATGCCATGGTAACCACTGCTCACTCATGCAGACCATTTGTCTCTGGGCTGTATTCTCTTCCCCAGCTTAAGCTGATTACCATTCACAACTGCAGGGAGTTTCAAGTTGTTCTACCTCAGCCCCAGTTCATATCTGTAAAGGACTTTTTTTCCATGCATATTTCGCATTTAGGGCTAGACCTATATTTTATAAACCAGTCGGCAATTGATGGGTGATGTGGTCAGCATCTCCTGACCACCTTTACTTCCCAGGACTATACCTAGTACCTACTGCTGGCTGGGTCAGCCTGGGAGCCAAGGTCATTTTAAAAAAGTCAGGCTTTGTCAGGATGTGAACCTGTGGCACAGTCGTGCCTATACATCCCCCAAGAAATAGATGTGCCTAAGTCGGCCAAGTGAATGAATATAGTTCGTATCTCTCTTCAATCGTACTCAAGAACAAGGCCAGTGATGTAACAATTACACAAGAGCTGTTTATTTACAATATTCCAGTCATAGAGGCTTCATAAATTCAATAGTATATGAACACTGTATTATCTGGATACAGGCTATTCGTATGACTCTCTACGAGTTCCTTAACCACTGTTCTAGCTAAACTCCAAGTTTAACATATACCTTCTAAACGAAGTAAATCACTAGTTTTCTCCTAACCTGTCCTATCAAGCGGTTCCGTGGCTAACTGTCCTCTCCAGCGGTTCCGGGACTAACTAACCTCTCAAGCGGTCCCGGGGCTAACTGTCTTCTCAAGCCCCTGGCTCTGACTTTATTCCCGCTTTCCCGCTCCTCCTGGCGTACCTTCTCCATCACTTCTCTGTCACCTGTCTTTGGTGGTCACGTCTGGATGAACGTATCTCACAGTTCACGGGCACTCGTCGAATGTTTCATCCCTCACTGTCAGATGTCATGGCGGTGTGTTCTGCATAGCTGGCTAGGCGGCTTTCTAATCACCTATTTCTGTCATTTCACACAGTGATGGATTAGTACGCTGTGTGGTGGTCTGAAATGTATGCTTGTTCATTTAACCCCTTTTCTGCCTATATTTCGTTACATTCGCCCTTTACACTTTTTAACAAAATTGTTTCCTATCTTCAATTTTATAAAAACTACTCTAATTATACCCGCTACCTAACTAAACCTTATGTGAACATCTAGCCACGTAATGAAAGCATACAACATAACATGTAACATCATAAATTTCATGCAGTATAATGAAAACGTGACATGCATACAATAACTAATAGTCAATAATTCTAAAGACATAAAAAAAAAACGATACACTCCCTCGTTGTATTAGCATAACGACCTCTTATTCACTGGTATCCCTAATGAATGTGCGGAGTTGTCTGAAGTATAAAGGAATAGTATCTGTATTCCTCCTTTATAAACTCAAACCTGAAAACATTGTATACAAGAAATGACATGCCATGTATCCCCAGTTATCAATAAAATAAAACTCGAAAATGTCATCTCCCCAAGAAAGGATGAAAACAGAATCTCTGAGAAAGTCAACATAGATTGAATAATAAGGTATAACCTTTACAGAGTATAAATAATTCTTATAACGTTAGGTATATTATTTGGAGAGAAATTTCTCGGGAACAATAGTAGCATTTCCTCAAGTCGAATGTACAATGCCACCACCTGTATTTACAGGCATTTATCTACTGTGATAATCCACAGGGTTTATTGTTGCTTCCCTAAGAGGTTGCTTCCTCTGTTTAATGCATATCGCATCTTCTGTAAAGAAATAGCCGGCCTATATTCAGTTACCCATCATGTCCTGCTTTGGACTGGCTTATCGCCAAGTACTTTCTAACTGTGTACCTCAGTAAAGTCTGGTTAAACTCAAATCAGTCATCATTGTGACAGAATGTATAAGAGAGGTTTTGTGGCCAGTAACTCTCTTAGCGAACATAAAACATGTAGGTATTGTAATCTTTACCCACAACCGAACGTGTGGATTTTCACTTTTCCGAGAGAGTACAACACGATAAAAAAACGTTCATAGTGCAGAACCAAATGTAAATATTAAATGGTAAGGACAAAACAACAGGTATATATTTAATATTGTCGGACAAATGACATGTAGACACAACAATATAATATGTGTAGCGAGCGCGGTACCTCTGTACACAGCAATATAGCGTACGTAATTTGTAATTAATGAAACTAATTACTTGTTATACACCCTACAATCCCACATTTATTGAACCATTTTACGGACGATCCCATTTCATTCAGTCATGGGAAAAGAAAAGGAGGGGGGGGGGAGCTGTAATTAATGTATGGTTTACTCAGGGTATAAATTCAGTCTACCCCCTGATGATTCTGGTCTACTAACTGTAGTGGATGCTAATTGTTCTAGTTCTATTTCTTCTTCTGTCTTATTAGTGATCTGTGTTTTTTCTTTTATTAAATGATTAGTTACTTTTGTACATTTAATGCCTTTCCTTCGCAAATAAAGAAAAGTTATAAGTCCCATCAATATGCATAATCCAGATATCAGTATGATCCTGTTTCTGTGTGTATTTAAAGTATTGTCTTGTAAAGTGTCAACTTGACTTAATTCGTGTATGAGATCATGCATGTCCATCGCACTAATGTTCTTTAGATGTTGTGGCATGTCTTGCACTTTGAATGTGGGTAGTGATGTCTCTAACGGTTCCCAAACTCTAATAGAATGAAAGCTATTATTCTTGATAAAATCTAAACTCATATCGTTGATTATCATATTTTCCGTGTATGATCGGTCGGCAGTTATTTGGAATCCATCGCTGGTTATGCCACACGATGCTGCTAGCCGAATAATGCTAAAAGGGGGGTCGACTTCGAAGTGTTCTACCTTATCTCCTCTTCCCTTATAACAAAATTTTGTAAACTTCGCTTTATGATTTGTGTTCACTACCCACATGTCATTTCCTAAGCTCATGACCTGGGGGCTATTGGACCGTAAGTTTACTGTTCTGTGACATGTATTTTCTATTAGTCTAGTCTTGTTCAGGAATAGAGCCAGCACGCAGAGCTCTGCTGTGTTTACTGGGTATAATACCCTACTTGCCTTACAGAATTTGTAAGAGTGTTCCATGCATATCTGTAGTGTGCTTTCGTCAATTAAAGAGAACATAGTCCTCTCGTGGTCAATTAATAAGGCAGTTGCTTCTAAATTGTACGTCGCTGTGAGTATCTTCTGCTGTGAACCTGATTCTTCCTGTATTCTCATGGGTACGGGAATGTTATGTACGCTATATAACTCAAATTTTGGTCGCCTCTCTACTAAAGGTATTTCAACCACCATTACAAGGTGATCCCTAGTGATCACAGTATCACAGACTAGAAATTTATAATACTGTACTAGGCTGACATAGACATCTAGGGGTAGATCTAATGTTTCGGGTAAAATCTGTCTGATATTCAGCAGCAACTGTTTAAGTTCACTCGGCATTAGCATACTGGTTGTAAATTTTCCGGTGACGGCAAAATTTAATTTTTTCCATAATTTGTCTACTGCTTGCTGAACTCTGTCTACTAATTCTTTACTTTTCTCGAGAACGGAATGTATATTAATGTACGTTCTGGTAAATTTATCAAGTGTTATGATTTCAGTTTGCAATATGTTAATCGTTTCGTTGCTGTACTGTAGCATGTAGGTCATCAAATCTCCTAAGCGATTAAGCTTCTCTCTATTCTGCTGAACTTCTTGTTTCGTGATATTTAATATTGTGAGCGTTTTTTCTACCACATGTGTTATCCTAACTTGGTTTGTCGATAATAATCTCTCACTTCTTTTGATTTCCTCGACTTCAGTGCTACTGCCGGTTCCGAACAGAAAGTTTAATGCGTCTCCAACGAATGGTAGAAGTGCCCTTTTCTTCCGTTTATGAGTATTTATCATTGACAAAAACTCTATCATATCGTTAACTGATTCTTCAAGTAATACCGTTTCCTGTCTTAGCATTTTAAATGGTTCATTATATAGTTTATTATTATTGTTATTAGTGTCCGTGTACTGTAACATTATGTTTTTAGCCTGTTTTTCTAATGTTTGTAAGTTTACTTGTAACTCATTGAGCGCCTCTCTGTATGGACTTATTTGGACTACTAATGCCGCCTTCCAGTGTGCCCGGACTGTTGATAACTCTTTGATCTTTGTAAACACCACGTTTTCAGTAACGATGAGTCCTACTGTGTCCGCTGCAAGTTGCTGGGTCAGTATTACCATGATGACATTGACTGACAGGGCAAATAGTCTCCTCTCCATCTGTAATTATAAGAAAACGACAAAAAAATGCTAATTGACTGCCATCCCTCCTGACGTCGAGTTTAGGTATATCACGTTGTACAGGTGAAATCTGTATTTGCCCTAATTATACAAAAGTATGTCGTGTATGTGAGTGGGTAGGAATGGTAATCCCAATTACGTTTCTCTTATATGATTATGTCATTTATTAGACGCTCCAGAGATCATCAATAAATCGGAACATCTTATTAATTTTGCTATCTTCTGTTGATGTGACTTTGTTACGCCACTTCTGGCTGCTTTTATTTCTGCGAAACTGTCCTTCTAATATATTAACTTTGCTTGTGTCTATGGTTCCCTGTAGACATTCTTGCTTCGTCAAATCGGTATGACCTGTATTAATAGTACTAATGCTGTCCCTCAGTCCTCGCTTTTTGTTGTGAAAACTGTTGTCTGTGTTCTCTCTGTTTTCCGTATGTCTTTGTTTACAGCGTACCTGTACTGCGTTCAATCGTGCCTCTCTCTTTCTATGTGGAGGGTTGCAGTCATCCTGACTGGATGACGTATGCCCTCGGTTTCTCTTTCCTCTTTTGGGCTCGGTCATGTCCTGATCTGTTTGTCTCATCATCAGCAACGCACGTGCTTTTATTACCTGTCTGCCAAACCCCGTTAAAGTTACTGACCTCGCGATTATTTCCTAAGTTTTGCCATCTTATATTCTTATTGTAGCCTAATTTTCTTAACCTGTCTCTTTTGAATTTGTTGGTTTGATTAGTGCTCATCATGCGGAATCTGGGATCTGAATTACATGACCTAACGCGACTTTGGTTATTATCATGGATATTTCCTACTCTATTAATGTTCTGATATCTGTTACCAAAATTACTCCACTGCTCCTGTGCTCTGATATTTCTGTTATTTTCTAATTTTTGTAAACGCTCAGCTCTGTTGAAGTTAATTATTTGCCCACTTCCGTTTTGTACACATGACCTCAGTTGACCCTGAATGTCATGGTATGGATTCGGTCTCTGTGGTCTGAAACTCTGCTTATCTATATTGTAGTCTGCTCTCTCGTTATCATATTTTCGCCTACCGGGGAAAAAGGTAAATCGATTAGCATCGACTTTATGTGTAGTAACAGTTGCTATTTTATAGCTATTTCTTCCTCTCGGTGCCTCTCCCGTTGAACTTGTTACCTCTAGAATATCTCTATCTACGTTAGCTACAATATTTCCTTTCTTCAATTTTACGGTTTTCCCTGTCGCGTTTGTGATAAGGACCGGAAAACAAAGTCTTTTACCTAACGTTACAATGCCATCTGTAGTTGATAAGCACGGTTCGTTTAACAGTGCTTCCTGAAGCGCTGTTGTTCGAATAGTCTGACCTGGCAGGAAATATGGGTTTCTTTTTAAACCCGACATCACTACGTTGATTGAATTAGGTTTTAGGATGACTGTTTGTTTAGCACGTACCATCGAAGCAACGTGAATGTCATCTCTAAGATCTACGTACCTATCTCTAATTCTAAGCTTTTTAAGGTCAAAATATAGCCTTATGCCATGTTTAACTAATATGTCCCGTCCTATAATTAAATGACGGTTCATTGTTTTTACTATGATAAAAGGATGTGTCAGATGTATTCCACCGATGGAAAACGGAATCATGGCTTTACCTAAAACTGATAGGCTGGCTCCGGTGAGAGACTGTAAGTTCTCTTTTGTGTGATGTAACTCTATACTACCTCTAATCCTCTTAAATACCGAGTAATTTAGAAGTGACAAATCTGCTCCTGAATCCACCAGACTATTAAACTTATTATTGTTGATTTCTATTAAACAGCAACACGGGCTGCCTGATGCATTAATCTGTCTATGGTTTGTAACTCTCTTCTGCCTATTTATTTCGTTATCTCTCTTGTGTCTTACTGAACTTTTAGAGGCTATGTCTCGTCCGTCGCTCAGCTGTGCCCCGGCCAGCGAGCGGATTTCGCGTTTCCCGAATAATGGTTTCTCCAGCCGCCGTTATTTTGTGTGTTAAATCCCTGACTTCTGTGACTGACCTGCCACGACCTTTCACCTCTGAAATCTGTGTTAACGAGCGGTCGGTTTATCGGCTGTGTTGTGGGTCGGTTACCTGCCGGGCAAAATCGGACTTTATGGGGACCTGAACAGTTATAACACGTTAAAGTGTGTTGCACTGCCTGTATGTTAGAGTGTCTGTGTCTCTCATTTGTGTGTCTTTCTCTGTGTGTTCTAAAATGTGATATGTCCATGGGTTCCGTCAACCTAATATCTTCTTCTTCTTCTGTTCTTCGTCCAGTTTGAAGGAACACTTTTCGTCTTAAACTCTCTTCTTTAAGAGTTATGGCTACTGCCTGTTCTAGAGTTGTTGGCCCAGAACGCAATAAACGAAGTTTTTGTGAACTGTCCCTTAAACTGTCACTAAAGACTGAAACTAAAATAAGCTGAGTTTGTTGTGATTGTATCTCGTCTTTAAGAAATGCATCTTGCGCGAGACTCTGTATTCTCTGCGAATAATTCTGTATGCTCTCATCTTTGCCCTGTTTGATCTGTCGTAAGAGGGAAAAGGCCATCTGTCTGTCTGTGACATCGCTGAAATTTTGTGCTAAGTCTCTTTTCAGTTCTTCCCATGTTTCTTCTTCATTCTGCTCTAATCTTCTTCTTATGTGTTCTGAAACCGGGGAAGAACTCATCTGGTATGCTAAACGTTTGATGTCGAAACTTGTCGCACCTGAAAGGAAAGCATACTTTTCTATCTCGTTTACCCACTTTTTAAACTTTTTTGTGTCTCCCCTGAAAGGTTCAATAACCCCTGTTATTCCCTGTCTCCGAACGCTACAATCTAATCTGGAGACAGCCTTGCTGACTTCTCCTAAAACTCTGCTGAACTGGGCTTCTACTGTTCCCTGTTCTGCCATTTTTAAAAAATCTGGGAAATTAATCTAATGCAAGTAAATTAAAATTGAAAAAACAGAAAATGTCAAATTACCTTGTTGAGTGCGTTCTGGAAAAAAAATTCTCTTTTCACAACACACTGTAATTAAAAAATCGGCACTGTCCTGGAATTATTTTCTAAGTTAATAGGAAAGGTAGGGAAAGATAAGAAAAGGTTTTCCCTACACCACTGTAAATTGAAAATCACAATATATTTAAACTAATTAATGTTAATGTTCAAGGTTCTTTAAAATCGCGCTTATTTTGCAGTTCCTATTTGTAAAATCGGACAGCTCACAGTTCTTGACTTTCCTATAATCTTCCGAGTGTGTAAAGTTAGGAAAAGTTTATATTATTTCTCCAGACTAGAACGGGCGCGTCCCCCTGATTCTAGTGTAGACGGTTTGCTCCGGGCTAGAACGGGCGTGTCCCCTGATTCTAGTGTAGACGGTTTGCTCCGGGCTAGAACGGGCGTGTCCCCTGATTCTAGTGTAGACGGTTGGCTCCAAAAAGGTGGTGCAGGCTGTTGGTCTGGTTTACGTCTCTCCAATCTGATGACGGGTTTATCGACTTTTTTGTTTTACTCAGCAGGTACAATCATAAACTTGCTTTTAGTTCACCTTTTTATAGCAGTTGCTTGTTTGTTATGTTGTAACAGCAGTCTTGTTTTTTAAAGATGTCGAGTACACAAGACTGATCGTTGGTCACGGCATCCAAATATCCTCACCGCTTGTAAACGGGGCGTCTGTATACATCCCCCAAGAAATAGATGTGCCTAAGTCGGCCAAGTGAATGAATATAGTTCGTATCTCTCTTCAATCGTACTCAAGAACAAGGCCAGTGATGTAACAATTACACAAGAGCTGTTTATTTACAATATTCCAGTCATAGAGGCTTCATAAATTCAATAGTATATGAACACTGTATTATCTGGATACAGGCTATTCGTATGACTCTCTACGAGTTCCTTAACCACTGTTCTAGCTAAACTCCAAGTTTAACATATACCTTCTAAACGAAGTAAATCACTAGTTTTCTCCTAACCTGTCCTATCAAGCGGTTCCGTGGCTAACTGTCCTCTCCAGCGGTTCCGGGACTAACTAACCTCTCAAGCGGTCCCGGGGCTAACTGTCTTCTCAAGCCCCTGGCTCTGACTTTATTCCCGCTTTCCCGCTCCTCCTGGCGTACCTTCTCCATCACTTCTCTGTCACCTGTCTTTGGTGGTCACGTCTGGATGAACGTATCTCACAGTTCACGGGCACTCGTCGAATGTTTCATCCCTCACTGTCAGATGTCATGGCGGTGTGTTCTGCATAGCTGGCTAGGCGGCTTTCTAATCACCTATTTCTGTCATTTCACACAGTGATGGATTAGTACGCTGTGTGGTGGTCTGAAATGTATGCTTGTTCATTTAACCCCTTTTCTGCCTATATTTCGTTACAAACCCATGACCTTCCAATCTGCAGGCGAACGTCTAGCTGCTACAACATGGTTGCTGCTCGTATCTGTATCTTAGCTATTGGCACCATTAGTATCGGAACTCTTCACTGGCTGCTGAAGATGGGGACGGAGCACTTATGGGAATGCCCTGAGTGCTGTGATGTCGGTTCTTGAATCAAATCAAATCAAATTAAAATCTGTAGTCACAGAATATGAATTTACTCATAACAAAAATAACATGAAAATAAGAACCATAAAAACATTAATGGTAGTCTGCAAAACATTTAAAGACGTAGGATATTTATTTCTTATACATTTAAAATGTCTACATTACTCACATATTTAGAGAATATTATTTTTTTTTCTCACAGGACATTCAAGGCATCTAAACATTTCTACCTCACACGACCAAGACCATTCACCAGATGTTTATTCTGGGAGATGACAATAATGATCTACACAGTTTATCTGACCTTTCTGACTTCAGTAGCTTCAGTGAAAACAACATAGACACTCTCACATTTGATCTAAGGGAGGGTCGAACATTAGGACAGCAAAGAAGAAAACCTGTGGCCTCAGGATGTAAATATAGTACTGGAAAAACAGGTCTGTATCAGAGTATATAATAATTGTCTTAATTTGTTAGAATTGTTTAAACATGGTCAAACATGGACACTGTCTTTAGATAACAGAAGGAAAATAGTCACAACAGAAATGAAATTTTTACATACTATGCTTGGTGTAACAAGGAAAGGTCGACTTAGGAACGATGATATCTGGAGGAGAGTCAGCACACAACCAATACTAAACTTTATCGTTAGACAGCAGAAGTTGTCTACCTTTGCTCCATGGTTGACCTAGCCTAGAGTGGGTACCAGGTACAGGAACTGGGAAGTAAAGGTGGCCGGCATGATGCTGACCACACCCCCCCCCCCCAATGCCGATTGGTCTATAAAACATTAGTCTAGCCCTATATGCCCAAAATGCTTGAAGGTGGGGAAAAGGGTCCTTTACCTTTCATTTAAATAAAAACATTTAACTGTTAATATTCTGCAACATTTAACTGTTAACAGGCTGCAATATTTAACTGTTAACATTCTGAAACATTATTTTTCAGGCAGAGAAGAGTTTAGTCTCAGCGATTCGGACATTGATGACGACGATGACCCTGAAATAGACAGCCTTGATCTTTGTTGAGTGAAATATGCAGCTGGTTAAGGGTTTGCTAATTTTGTTGACACATTTCTTCTGGATCATTAGGAAAGGATCACTGTGAATAATTTTTCATGTTTGTTTTGGTACTGCTGTATTTTGTTTTTTGAAGTTTTAAAAATATTTTTTTAACCTTACATAGCTGACAAAGTTTTGACCTTATTATACATTTTATTATAGATTTGTACTTTTATTTATGTAAAATTATTCAGTTTATATTTTTGCATTTAATCAGCTATATATCTTTCGAAATATACTTTACATGATGTAATAAAATGTGTATGTATGAGAAAGAAAGAAAGAAATACAGTAAGAAAGAGAGAGAGAGAGGGAGAGAAAGAGAGATAGAGAGATAGAGAGAAAACCTTTTTTTTAAAAGGTCTCAAAGAGCTGAGTGAATAAAGAAAGTTTATTTTCAAAAAGAGCAAGAGAGATATAGATACAGATAGAAAGATACAGATAGAGAGACAGACAGACAGAGGTAATTTTACTATCAAAGGGTTACACACAAAGAGAAGAGAGAGATAATTTTTTTTTTCAAAGGGTCACAAAGAGAGAGAGGAAAGGGAGGGAGAGAGAGAGAGAGAAGCAGCTTAATATTCAAAAGGTCACAGAGAGAAAGAGATGAGGAGTGTGGGAGGGGGGGGGGGGTAAGAGATAGGAGAGAGGGAAACCTTCTTTACTATCAAAAACAAAGAATCTATGCTGCACAAACATTTGTTTCCACTGTCGCAATCTCTGATGATCTTTGTTCCAGTTCATGCAGTACCACTCTACACTATCCTTCCATCTTAAACTGTTGCTTCTAAAATAAAAATGAGAAGCAAACTTTCAGGAACCACAACAAAGAGAAAAACATACACAATTAGGTCAGACCGCTAACTCCTCATTGGTATTGACAATCAGGAAAAACAAGAATAATGTAGAAATAAGCATTTCTTGTGTAAAATAAATATAAATAATCAACAATGATATAGAACACGTCCTGTGTGGTCTGGTACACAGCATGGCTATTGTGGTTATCAATGATGCCACAGGGTCAGAATCTGATCTCTACATTCCCGACAACACACAGCTGAAAAAAAAAAAAAGAAATAAGAAGTTTAACATGAGTGTATATTTCTGTGTGGGGCTGGAAACCTGGGGGTATCCCTCTGTCATAATTTGATTTATTAATATCCCCCCCCCCCCAGAAATTTTATAATGAGGCTAAGTGGCTGCCTTAACTATGTATATATGTTTTCTTTTTAAAATATTTATTGATACACTTCAGATTATTTCAGATATACTGTTATATTTATTTACCCGCTCAGAAGACAATAATAATTATTGTTATTGCACACTTAAACAAATCCTAAAACCTGAGGACCCATTCTCCCCCTCCCCTCCCCCACCCCAGACAATTATAAATAGAAATCTCATGGTTGATTTCGAATGTCAGGTGGAGAGATGTAAGAAGCCTAACAGTGGGGTTTTATAATTTAAACCCTGTGTCATCAATGACAAACCTGCGACAGTAACATAAAATAGAAAATAAAGATTACAAGAGAAATGAGATTCTGCGGAGAGCTCTCAAAATAACAAAAAGAAAGAGGTAAGATGAAAAACGATGATATCTGAAGGAAAATGAGGGTAGCAGCAGCTCTGTATTTCATTAGAAAACAACAGTTGAAATGGTTCGGTCATATAAGGCGGATGTCAACATACAGTATACCACAGCAAGCAGTGATGTGCAGACCAGTCCAGAAATGAAGAGGATGCCGACCATACAAGCTATGGACAGAGGGAATCACAGAGTCACAGAGAATCCCAGTTTACGAAGCACACAAACGGGCACTTTCCCTTAAATTATTCTTCACCTTGACACGGCAAGGCACAAGCGGATCACAAGGCAAGACAAGATAAGATGAGATGAGATGAGAAGGATTATTGTGTGTGTGCGCGTGCATGTGTGTGTGTGATTGATTCATTAAATATTGATTTAACTGTGTAGTAATACACCTGGCGAGATACAGCAAAATATGGCAGGTAATCAGTTGTGCAATGTATTGTCTGTGCCTCCTTCAGTTAAATTATAAATTATGCTACTCCTCCACCTTTCCTTATTAATTTTTTTTTGTAGCAATTGTAGAAATGGCATCCTGAAATATCTGAACGCAGCGGATGATTGGGCCCTTTTCTTTTAATTCACCATCTTGGGGATTCCGAAATTTCATGGGAAATTCCCGGGAAAGTCCAACAGTACAGAGTTGTTAGGGTATGAAATGATACCGAACACTAGTCCTACCCACCCTCACACCCCAATTTTGGATTTTCCCCACGAAATCTCATTTTGGCTGAACAAAAAATGGGCTAATGAACAGCATTTTGTCACGGAAACTGAAATGTGTCCATATCAAGCGCCACGGCGGATAAGAAACAATAGTAGCAGAACCAATAGTAGCAGAAACAATGGTAGCAGAAACAATAGTAGCAGAAACAATGGTAGCAGAAACAATGGTAGCAGAAACAATAGTAGCAGAAACAATGGTAGCAGAAACAATAGTAGCAGAAACAATGGTAGCAGAACCAATGGTAGCAGAAACAATGGTAGCAGAAACAATAGTAGCAGAACCAATAGTAGCAGAAACAATGGTAGCAGAAACAATAGTAGCAGAAACAATGGTAGCAGAAACAATGGTAGCAGAAACAATAGTAGCAGAAACAATGGTAGCAGAAACAATAGTAGCAGAAACAATGGTAGCAGAAACAATGGTAGCAGAAACAATGGTAGCAGAAACAATAGTAGCAGAAACAATGGTAGCAGAAACAATGGTAGCAGAAACAATGGTAGCAGAAACAATGGTAGCAGAAACAATGGTAGCAAAAACAATAGTAGCAGAACCAATAGTAGCAGAAACAATGGTAGCAGAAACAATAGTAGCAGAAACAATGGTAGCAGAAACAATGGTAGCAGAAACAATGGTAGCAGAAACAATAGTAGCAGAAACAATGGTAGCAGAAACAATAGTAGCAGAAACAATGGTAGCAGAAACAATGGTAGCAGAAACAATGGTAGCAGAAACAATGGTAGCAGAAACAATGGTAGCAGAAACAATGGTAGCAGAAACAATAGTAGCAGAAACAATAGTAGCAGAAACAATGGTAGCAGAAACAATAGTAGCAGAACCAATAGTAGCAGAAACAATGGTAGCAGAAACAATAGTAGCAGAAACAATGGTAGCAGAAACAATGGTAGCAGAAACAATAGTAGCAGAAACAATAGTAGCAGAAACAATGGTAGCAGAAACAATGGTAGCAGAAACAATGGTAGCAGAAACAATGGTAGCAGAAACAATGGTAGCAGAAACAATAGTAGCAGAAACAATGGTAGCAGAAACAATAGTAGCAGAACCAATAGTAGCAGACGATATGGTGCCAGGAAAGAGGGCCAGGACCGACCAGCACCAAGATGGGCAGAGGATATAATTTTGGTCATAGAATTCGCGAGCAGGAAGATCTGGCAAAAGACTGGTCTAGCAGGCTTTGATCAGAGCCTGTGGTCTGGAGGGTCCTGCTACGTGATGATGATGGCAATGAACATCACAATTATACACAGGCACATTTTAAAATATGTATACTGTCGACATATAGACATATCTAACTTATATGTATAAATTACTCCCTACCAGCTCTTGAAGCCTATGGGGCTGAAAACATTAAGTCCCGCCCCTTTAAAATTAAAATAAAAATAATTAAAAAACAAAACAACTAAAGGCGGAAGCTCAGCCCTAGAGGTGTACTTACCATACATGCACGCATACCGCTCACACACATATACACACACTATCTCTCTCGTCTTCACAATGAACATCACATTGGCTGTATGTTTAGTTACATTACTGTCTTTGTTTAAAAAACAACAACATAAATATGTGCCCACTGTTGATTAACAATTGATTTCTGAAGTGAAGGAAATTTGTAGTTAAGGCTGCACTAATATTCACAAAAATATCCATATTTTTAGTAGGAAATATATTTTTATTTTCATGCCAGGTTTTGATGTTTGCGAATAGGTAGGCAGGTGCTATACAAGAAAGAAAAAAACCGTGAGGTTCAACTAGCATCACCGAAAGGGGAGAGTAGGCCACTAAAAGCCTTGAAAAAGAATCCTGTAGTGATGATGCGATCAAAGGAGACAGACCCAAAAACTGTCCCGACCGGTGACAAAATCATCTACCTTCGAATCTATAGGCAACCCGGTCCAAAAAGGAGAAGTCATAAATATGCATTTGGTCCTGGGCCAATAAATTCTGGACAGACGGTAGATACACATGTGTATTCTTCCTCTTCTGACTTGGCCCTCTAAACAGCGAAAGAGAGGCTGTGTTGTGGTTCACAGCTAGGCAAGAAATCCGATTTAAGAAAATCCCTAATTAGTTGCCTTTTAATACATGCTGGTTAAGGGAAGGGATCTTTACCCCCCCCCCCTCCCCCTTTCCCCTTTAGACTGGGACACAGAAACCCACAATGAGCACATGTATTGTAATAAACGGAAGTTGTATTTTAATTGACGGCAGCAAAGGGGGTCACTACAGGAAATTTTTTTTTTTTTCATTTACAATGTTAGACCAATTATTTTATAATGGTCATTTGTAGGGATGTATGTTGATACATTTTTAGGGATGTATGTTGATACATTTGTAGGCATGTATGTTGATACATTTGTAGGGATGTATGTTGATACATTTGTAGGGATGTATGTTGATACATTTGTAGGGATGTATGTTGATACATTTGTATGGATGTATGTTGATACATTTGTAGGGATGTATGTTGATACATTTGTATGGATGTATGTTGATACATTTGTAGGGATGTATGTTGATACATTTGTATGGATGTATGTTGATACATTTGTAGGGATGTATGTTGATACAATTGTAGGGATGTATGTTGATACATTTGTAGGGATGTATGTTGATACATTTGTAGGGATGTATGTT